TATATAAACTTACAAAATATAAGATAAACAAATACATATAAGAATTAAGCATTATGAAACAAGACTACTTTTCATAAAGAACAAGTCGACCTGTCACCTAAACGATCACATCATTGTTAAAAACCATGATGCGACCTCAAATTCAAAGGTGACTATCATGATCTACCTAAAAATTTGCCCAATGACCGCCTCGATGGAATGCCAAATCATTCCATTTATTCCAATTACTTTCTAACATCTTACAGCCAACATCTTTAACACCCACTTCAATGCGTTTACTATGTGACTTAGCTTTTTTATTTTTACCACTAATACCATACCGCTTTTCTTCCTTTATTTGTAACTCATTCCTTGGTTCCCAAATAAGCACTTTGAATTCTAATAAAACTCTCCCAGTTATTTGTTTCAGTACCTTATACAACAATTTTTCTTCAGTTATTTTATAACACATTAATAATTCTATTAACTGACAACTAACTTGATTATTCATTAAAAATGTAAAATCATATAAACATCCAATATCCCACATACCTAGCTCATTAATTTTACCTTTTAATTCTTGTATATCTATATCATTGCTTAAATACTCCTGTATAATTTTAGCTAAAAAATTTTTAATCCTACACATTATAAATAACGTGCATGTATGATTCTTTCTTCATTAAAAAAGCTGTATGTACATACTATCGAATACAGAATGATTTTAAAGTTTAATTTTATTTCATATTTCTTGTATTTATAAATTTTCTTAAATTTTATATATTAAAGAATACAAAAAATATTAAAAAAATTAAAGATGAAAAGGATTCTTTTTAATTTAGTAATATTTCCTAATAATTTAAATAAAAATAATCTATCAAATACTTTATTTAAAACAGATCAGTTAATATTAATAGAAATATTTAATTTTAGAAAATTATGATTTATCGCATATGCGATTTATCGCTATACCCCATTTGTCATGTAATGTAAAATAAACTATAATCACATGAATTATACTTTAATAAACTTTTGTAGATCAGTATTTTCCACAGCTTTTCTCTCTCTCTCAAAATGTTTTCATTTTAGCTATTTCTTTCATTAATATTTGAACATATAACCATTTTTTCGCTAATATTGAATATAAACATGCCTTTTTTCATTAATATCGAATGTAAACTACTTTATTTACTACTTTATGGAAAATATGAAAGAAGAGTCAAGCAAAGACACTCAAAACTCAGAATTTACATATAGTACATATAGGTTAGGGTTAGGGTTAGGTTGGGTTTTGGATTATATTTCAGATTAGGGTTAGGGTTAGGTTAGGTTAGTTTAAGGTTACTTGCCGAAACCTAGGGGTTTAGGCAAGATGGCGTTTCACCAAAAAGTGAAATTCTGCCAAAACTATATTAAAGTTATATTAAAAAACGGGCGAAACTTTGGAGAAAGGCGAAACTGCCGAAACTTATTATAAATGCCGAAACTGCCAAAACTCTGCCGAAACTATAATAAATCTATAGTAAAATTTTGACGAAACTAATCGTAGGATTTTGAAGAGGTTTAGACAAGCAACCTTAGATTAGTTAGTTAGTATTAGAAATGTGAATTTATAATTTACTAATCATTTATATTTATTTTTTAGATGATTGCAGTAATATAAGTAATGAAACCATCTTGTCTTATGAGAATAACCATATATTGTTGTATTCAGGAAGGAAGAATGAAATAAGTGATAAAGAAAATGTTGATTCTTTGATGCTGATATTGTGAAATCTGAAGAAAAAATGTGGTAAAGGATGACCACTGAGTACTAAAAGGTTCAAGTCATCCACTGAGGCTACTAAACTTAGTCAAGAAATCATTGACTTTACAGAAAATATGGGAAGGTTGGCTACTATCAAAAAAAATTGCAAGGTACATAACTAGAAATAAAAAATTTAACATCCGTATATAATAGTTGGTCAGGAATAATTAATTAGAATGTATGAATAGAAAGAATATATCAATAGAAAAAATGTATTAATAAAAAGAATATATCAATAAAAAATATGTTAATAGAATACATTATGTTAATAATTAATTTGTATAGTTATTGCTTAACTTTAATAATAATAACGATAAACTAATCACATGATAATAGTCTAAACATGTGACATTTGAGGACTAGCGATATATCGCCGTTGCGATAAAAAAAAATCCTTAATTTTAAATTTTTTAAATAAAAATTTTAGAATAAATTAAATTAGATTATTATTTTAATAAAAAATATTAAAAAAGTTAATTTATACACTCCCCTACAATAAATTAACGGATTTGACAAAATTTACATAGCAATTTTCACGTTGCATATAAATTTACGAATTTTTAATAAAATCCAGCCAGAATTTTTTTATTTGAAAGTTGATTGTAAATAGTTTTAATGTATCAAAATAAATAAATATGATTAATTATAAATATAAAAAAGTTTTCTCATTGCAAAATAATATAAAAAATTATGAAATTTTCACTTTTTTTCAGCAATGGGTTAACTCTTTAAAATTTTAGAAAATTTTCTTTATTTTTTAATACATGAAAGCTACAATTGATTGGCTTTTAAATAAAAAAAATTTGACTGAATTTTATTGAGAATTCATAAAGTTTCATATAGCCTGAAAATCAACAATTTTACTAGTAAATCTTATAAAAATTTGTAATTACATAGTAAAATTAACAATAATTGACAAATTTTAGTCTATATGAAACTTAATGAATTCTCTACAAAATTTAGTTAAAATTTTTTTATTTGAAAGCCAATCAATTGTAGCTTTAAAATTTTAGAAAATTTTCTTTATTTTTTAATACATGAAAGAGTTGACCCATTGCTGAAAAAAAGTGAGAATTTCATAATTTTTTATATTATTTTGCAATGAGAAAACTTTTTTATATTTATAATTAATCATATTTATTTATTTTGATACATCAAAACTATCTATGATCAGCTTTTAAATAAAAAAATTCTGGCTGAATTTTATTAAAAATTCGTAAACTTATATGCAACGTGAAAATTACTATGCAAATTTTGTCAAATCCGGTAATTTATTGTAGGCAGTGTATATAAAGGTTTAAAATTTGAATGCACTTGTATTTAAACGCATTCCCCTTTTTTGGAAATTTTTAAATAGTAAATTTGTTGATCATTTATAATCACATTATGATCAGCAAATTTACTATTTAATAATTTCCAAAAAAGGGAGATATGTTGCAACGCACCTGTATAAAATTATTATTTTCTATATATAATTAAAAATTGAGTGAATTTATTTACCGCACCCTGCATTACAACGCATCCTTCCTTTTTGTAAATTGTTTATGTTGATCTTTAGTTTATACACCGCACTCCCCCTTAAAATGGCAAATGATAAACATACAAATATATATAAATTTGTAACGCAGGGTGCGGTAAATACATTATTTCTTAAAAATTTATATAATTAAAAATATTTTATTAAATACAATTTTAAAATATGATTTATAATGAACAATATATTATAAAATTAAATTAAATATAATTATAAATAAATTAAATAATATTCAATTAATAAAGGAAATTAGCAAATTAAAAAAAATATGATTTTTTTCATTACAAGTATTTAAAAATTAAATATATAAATATTTTTAACTCTGCTAAACAATTTTCTATTAATAAAATTCATTATTAAAGTACTAAAATTTAGAGTTCTAAAGGTTTTGAAAAATTCAAATCAGATTACTGAAATGATAATCTAATTTAATTTGTTCTAAAATTTTTATTTAAAAAATTTAAAATTAAATATTTCTATTAATATTAACTGTTCTGTTTAAAATAAAGTAAATAATAGGGCAACTTGTAGATCATTTTTATTTAAATTATTAGGAAGTATTAGATTAAAAAGAATCCTTTTCATTTATTTTAAACTAAAAAAAAAGTATAAAATTTGGTGATTTTTCTTTTAGTTAGGTTTAATAATTTAAATCATAATTAAATTTAATAAAGGATGTTTATATTTTAACAAAAGTAAATTATTAAATATAAAGAAAATTGGTGAAATAATACAGAGATGTTTACTTATATAATATAGCCTGTAATTCACTTAGAAAATTTAAATCTTAATTTTTTTTACTAAAGTTTACAAATTACAATGACTACCTTCTCTAGTTTTTACTCTTTGTTTTAATTAAAATAATAAATAGTTATTTAATACTAAATGATTTTTCTAAAAAAAATACAAAGATGAGTTATAAATAATTCGTGCTATAATGAATTTAAAACTAATGTATTCTTCTGCTATATTAATCTATATTTCCTATATTTATACTTACGTAAAGATAAGTGATATTTACAAAAGTATTTAACTTATAAAAATAATTATGCCCTATGTTATCATCAGTAAAGATAAATTTTATTTACATTAATGCCATATACATGTAGAATTTGTCCCCGAAAGTTCTGATTTACAATATTATTAAACTTGGTGAAGGCACTTGCTAATTATTTTGAACTAAATTATTTCATCATTATTAGTGTTTCTTAAAGTCATAAGCTGCGAGAATAGAATTATCGTAATATCGTAATTAATATTCATAGCAAATAATGCAAATTTGATTAATAAATATTTTCCAAAATGATTCCCATTAAATAAAGAGTCTACTATTCCGTATAGTTATGAACGGAGGGGTGTTTAATATATTGTACAATTCTTTCCAGACCAATATGACTATAGTTGTTTGCTTAAAGATAAAAGAAGAAAAAACATTTATTTAGAAAACTAATAAAATATTAAACGGAATAATGGTACAATGATATATGGTCAATAAACAAATAAGAAATCAATGATATGCTGTGATATAAATTGGGAAAATTAAAATGTGCATAATATATATAAGTAAAGTCGGTAAAAGTAACTCACAACAACAAAGATCGATATCCATTGATACCATCACGTTCTTTAGATGTCAAAGTCCTTAGTTGTCTGCTATCATATAATGAATGATACTAATCGTAATTTAAATAATCGACTAATAATTGACTAACCATCGAGTTGGTTCTCACTATCAACGAAATTGAGTAATTTCCATTTCATAATATTAATAAAAGCCCATGATATCCAAACCCTTGTTACCCTATTCATATTCCAGAAATCATTGGGTTACAAGTTGGCATTTAGTTATCAAATCTTCCTATGAGGAAAAAAATAAAGTTCATATCAGCAACGAACCTTATGATATCTCGTTAATCATCGCGTAGACAACGCCTTTGATAAAACTTTAAATGACTCTCCTCGGGAGCATTAACTTCTGGTATAACTTTTCTAACTTTTTCAAAAGATTCCATCCTAGTATATACCGCACGATATACACCAAGATGTCGTAAAGTTTTCCCCAAATACTGTACTATGAGCTCCAAATATTCGTCGGTGATGCATTCACATCCAGAAAGAGTCAGCCAGGTCAATGGTGCCTTACAATGTTCCAAAAATGATTCAAAAGCGGTCGTTGTAAACTGCCATTCAGATGAAATACTAAGTCTCCGAAGACTACTGGGTATTGATTGTCCTATCGCAGGTAAGAATTTTTCAGCATCCAGACTTGCACCATATATAGACAGACTTTCAAGCTGCTGTGAATTGCTTAAAAGCGAGCAGATAGCAGATATCTCTATGGTACCATGAATTTGATTTGATTCAAATTTGGTGATATTCGGACAATGACTTACAAGAGCTTCAATAACTTGTACTAAATATTCGGAACTTTGTGTGGAACATAAAATAACTTCTCGCAAACTTATGTTAGCATTACTAGCCAATGCCGATACAATATCAACGGGAAGATCAGAATTTGATATATTAAGATGTGATAATCGAGATAATGATGAAGTGATCAATGGAGCGCACATCTCACTTGTTAATCCATCACAACCATCAAATTCTAATATTTCCAAATTCTTACAGGCTCCGATTCCATAGAATGGTGGGTGACCTTCAAAACGAACATAACTTAATTTTAAGCGCACTAATGACTTTGCTTGACTTTCCAAAGCTTGAATGATTCTGCCACCAGTATCATGACCATAATAATCACCATGGAGTTCCAAATCTTGTAAATTATTTTGGGCTTGAATAAAATCAACCAGGCCTTCTGCTTCAGCTTCAAACTTTTCGATATCCCTACATTGCTTTTCAGTATCCCATTCATATATAGGTAGATACGTCTTTAATTGACACACTCCATGACAGATAGAAAATTTTTCAAAATATTTACGTAATCTTTTCCCAGTAAGAGTTAACCGTCGAATATGTGGTAAGCAAGATTCAGCTCCCGGGTAAGAGGTAATATCATATTTCTCTAGTAAACAAGTAGCATCGCAAGAAAACCGATATATAGCAGGACAGCGACTTATAAAAAGCTTCAGAAGCAACTCTGTTAGTATCCAGCGTCCTTCTGCTCCAATGCATTCGTCTCTACGAAGGTTACACCACCACCACAGGTGGTGATATAATCCTCCAATGTGGAGAACACGCCGGTATTTAGAATAATCGAATGTTGGAGGTATCTCAGTTGAAGGTGGAAGATTTAGACCATTATCATTAAGTATTTGTTTTTCTTCGTCACTTAAGCAAGCTATATATACTTCAACTAACTGTTTAGACATGTATGCATTGGGACTTCTCCACAAGATTGGCACAACTTCCTGGCACCAATGTCGGTTAACCAAAAGACACGAGTGTAAAGAAGGTTTATCTTCCTCATTCTCCTCGATACATTCAAATATTTTTCGAAGGCAAAGATTCGGTAAGGAAGAAGCCATTTCTATCACTCGTTAATTCAATCAAGAGAATGAAACCGGTAATCCTGCGAAAAAAATGTGGTCTGTCTCTATTTTAACGGCGCGTCATTTGATTGGGTTATTGCCAAATTCAGTATTTTGTGATTATATCATATGACTCTTAACGTTTTATCCATCCAAATTTGGTATGATTTGCTGGATATTAAAGATCGAGATTTCAAAGCTCGACTTCGTTCACCTTTGACGCCCTTTTTTTAATTAGCTATTTCGGGATCTTTTATATACCAATGAACCAAAATGGTAATTTGATGAATTAATAAAGCTTTTAATAGATCATTTTGATTTTTATAATCTTTATTAAAATAGAGAATACGAGAAATGTTGGGCATTTGAGTGCAGAGCGCATTCGAAATCTTGAAGTCATTGAAAAGGTATCCAACTTACCTCTATTTTACAAAAATTTTTTTCCAATCCGGATATATTTGGAATCATTATTTTTTTATTTTATTATATTACACATTTACACTCCTAAATTATATATATTCTTATACTTTAACAGATGATCGTTGAACTAATGGATACGGCAGCTGAAGCGATTATGGGTTTGGCATTGGACGGACATATCAGCAACAACGATGAAGAGACATCAAAAACAGAGCTCACGGTAAAAAAGCGAAGCCCCGAAGAACAGATCGAGATTTTTCAAAATTTGACAAAAAAATTTAATGATTTAATAGATGTAGGCAAATATATTGTAGTTCTATTTGTTCCGGGTTAAAATTCTAAATTTAATGTTTTCTTTATTTTATCTGTGTTTCTCATAACATATCTTAATATTAAAAGAATATACAAGTTGGATTACGTCTTCAATTTCGCCAAATGCGAAATATGGGAATAACATCGGGAGATATTCCAATCAGGACAGTTACTTATGGTGAAGCCAAAGAATATGAAACTTGGATGAACGCGGCAAAAATTTTAAGGAAGGAACTTGAGAAGATTATGGACATCGGAACCGCTGCTGGAGGGTTACAAGATATGAAAAATGATAATATGGAAAATATGGAAATTGACGAATAGGAAGATTGTATACTTAGGAAAAATGTTTATAATATCTAATTATCACGTGATTTCAGTTAATAGGTTCTTTAATAAAGTCTTGGTCTAGTAATGCATAATCATAGTGACATATGCAATTTTTGTGTCAGCGAAATTCCCATGGTTTTGGCGCACAAGAAAAATAATCTTCGTTAAACAGGCAAAGAACAAAAAAAAAAAAGAATTCCGTTTATTTATTTTTGGAAAATTGTAATACAAATTTAATAAAGAAATTATGATAGAAAATCGAAAAGAGTTTTATTTAAAAAACAGCGTCTACTCAAACAAGGAATGACTCAAAGGATGAGTCAACAACAATAAAGATTTATTTAATAAATGAACCGGTTTCTTTGAGAAAGTGTAAAGACTAAATGAAAGGAAGATAAAGTCGGAAGGCTAAATAATAAGCGAGTATTACAGTATAATATAAATAAAAAGTGGCAGATTGTTTAAAATAAGGGCAAGAATTCCGGATTCCTTCCTGATTTGGGGAGATAAAATGTCGTAATTTGGATATTTGTTTTTTTGTATGTACAAAAATAAAATTTCGTGTGATTAAAAGGTGCAAAAGAAGAAAGAGTGTGAGGTGTTAAACATTATACGGCTGTGTACCTTCGGGTATTTTTTTTAGAAATGCGTGGCATAGTTATGCTTATTTTGGATTGATAGTCTGATTATTAACCTTTGGAAGTGTTATCTTCTTCTCGCAGAACCAATTACGATTTTTTTTTTACTTTACAAAGATTCCTTTAACGAAATTCTTTATAACCCCAAAGTGAAATAATTTTTAAATAAAATTCCCCCCNCCCCCCCCCCCCCTATTTTTTTTTTAGAATACATTTTAAATATTTCTTTGGAATTTGTTTTATTGTCATAATTATATCATTTATTATTGTACATCAACTTGGCTCCAAAAGCTCAATAACTTCCGAATTTTTTCTGCTCTGGTAAAGAAAGGAAAAAAGAGATTTATTATAATTATTTGTCAGAATAGTGCAGTTTGTACTCGGTTGTAAATATTATTATATTATTTAGAATATAATTTATATTGGTTTTCAAAAATTAAGCAACTAGTGACCCCGACTGAGATCTGACTCAATTTAGAAAGTAATTGCATGTTGTGACGTTGCACATCACTTCTCAACCAATCAAATTACAAGTAGTAAAGGTTTGGAGACAGCATGAAATCATTTTCTCTTTTGAAAGAGGCAGGCTTTTGTCCTTGGAAAAGAGCACACACACAAGCCTTCCGAAACGTCCGTCCAGTATGTTCCAAACCAAACCCCCCACAACATACATAATAAATACTACCATACAAATGAATTACGTCTGCGTTGCAAAAAAAATTATCTATCGAATTCATTTGGGACTTAACCCCATAAAAAAAAAATTTTCTTCCCACAGATAAAAAACAAAACTAACATCTCTTAAGCCCTTACACACCCGAAAGATTGTTGGGCGCACTATCTGCTATATACACACTGCACCAACCATAAATACATATAACTATAAAATACTATTGATACTATTATAAACCAAATCAACCTTGTTTGTTATAAAATAAGGTCTGCCTTTACATCTGGCCCCCCCAAAAAAACTCTTACCTGTTGACCTTTTGCAATAATATATTGTTATTAACATGGCTCAATCACATTCACATACGCACACACATTCCGGTCGAGGAAGGCATGCTACTACTACACATGAAAATGGAGCCGTCACTCAGGAGCGCTATCAAAAACTTAAACGCAAGGTTCGCGACATGCAAAATGTAAGTAACTTCTTATTTTAATTTAGAATTGAGCAACATTCGTATAGGATCGCAGAGAAAGTATTTTCATGAGAGAAATTATTTTAGATATACACTGTTTATCAAAACATGTTTCTCTTGGATTCAGTTATAGTCTATGAGTTATGCTTTGATTTTACTACAACCTTTTTAAGATTTGCACTCGTTTATCGGAACATATTTTATACATATATTTATCATGAAAATTAAACGACGAGAAATATAAATACTAGAGTTGACCTATTTATTATAACGAAATATTTTAACCACTATATATTATAAACAATACTATTTATTAATTTGTATGTATCTTTTTCTATAATTTATGATATTAGGAATATGACAAACTAACTAAAGAACTTGAAAGATCTCGCAAAAGAATCAAATCCTTGAAGAAAGAAAAAGAGTACGTTTTTAAATGAATAATATTCGACTATATAGTCAAAATTATAAATGGTTAACCCTTTTTGTTGTTATTTATAAAGATTGCTTCTAGATCGCATTAGTCAATATGAAGATTCTGATAGTTCTGATTCTGAAAAATCTGTAGAACTTTCTTCTGAAGCTACGTCAGATTCTGACGGTAAGCTGAATCTCGAAAATTACTTCACTTCACATATCCTAAAAAATGGTCTCTAATCCTTATATATATACAATATATACATATATGCTTTTTTTTATTGTAGGTTCGTCTGCGCAACATTCTCAAGCTTCTTCCGTTCGCCCAATCAAAAAAGCACGCGGTCGCCTATCTACAAAAAAGCTTTCTCCTCCAACACCCGCTAATAACATCGTTAATTCGGTCCCCATTACTCATCCATCTGGCAAGGTTCCCAAGAAGCGTGCAAGCAAGCGCCCATTGAATGCAAAGACAATGAAAGTTCAACACGTTGAGCAAGATGAAAACGGCAATTATAAACTTCCTGTACAAATAGGCATATTAACTGTGTTGAATCTCGGAACAGTAGTTTATGACCGTGATACTTTCCATAATGAAAGGTATATTTGGCCTGTCGGATATGCCGTCAAAAGGTGAAGAATTATTTATTATCTCTATTTTACCTTAGATTTACTTATATTAATATTATTCGTTGCTTAAAAACTTAGAGCTTATAATAGCATGATCAACTCCAAGGCACAGACGATGTACGTTTGCAAAATTGAAGATGGTTTGGAAAACCCAAAGGTAATAATTCCTTATGCGTTTTTTAGATAAATTTGGTGTTATTATTAATCTTTATTGACTTTACCTTTCCATTAAATTAATAATAGTTTGTTATCGAGGCAGAGGATCAGCCTAACAAGCCAATTATAGCTAACACGGCGACTGGTGCCTGGACTACTGTCGTTCGTGAAGCCAATGCAATTCGTCAACGTGATCACTCAAATTCAGCTTCTGGGCCTGATTATTTCGGCTTTTCGCAAGCCACTATCAGAAAAATGATACAAGACTTACCAAATGCTCATAAATGCAAAAATTACGTGATGCAAAACTTTGAAGTCATGAAAAACAGAGTCGCTGGCGGACGACGCCGTGGAGCGGGAGCTCGAGCAAATGGAAATGCCAAAAATGGCACTGTTGAATCCCCCGCCTCTGTCAACGTACAGTCGCGTGAGGAGAATGGAGTTGAAACTGGCAGCAGTGTCGGTGATGGAGACGTGGTAATGTCTAATTCAGGAGAGGGAGAGGGAGAGGGAGAGGTGGAGTTGGAAAGTGAATAAGTTTTTTCCTTTTCTTTTGCTTAAAAAAAAAAATTTTTTTTAAATTCTATTTTTTTATGCCACATAAAAAGTTCGCGCATTTCGGCTTGCCGAATGTGTTGAAACATTTTTTTGCTACAGTATATGTAAAGTTTATTTTAAAATACCATAAAAATTACGTTTATAATTTTTCTTTTTATCGCACATATTAGATTTTGTAGAATTTATACATGGTTAATTTGTTTTATACATTTTATACATATGGTGGCCTGGGTCAAAGTTAATGGGTTGACAAGTAATAATTGAAAAAAAACCATTTATTTTATTTGCTGGTGGAGGTTGATCATCAAACATTTCATTTTCAATAAATATTGATTATTGTATTTTTTATATTTCACCTAATATTTCAATTTAATAAGAGTATTAATTATCAAATGTCGGGGTGTCAATTGTATTTCTCGTATATTCTGAAAAATGTATATAACAACTTGATAAAATTATTAATAAAGAATTTAGCTATAAAGCAAAGGTAAAAAAATATCTATATAAGCAGAATTAAGAAGCAGAAATGAAAATTACTCGTCACGACTATTTAAGAATCCCCAACAACGCCACATTCGTTCGCAAGTCATGACTTTTTGTCTAACTCCCATTCGAGGATAATCTAATGCTCTAAGATCATCTAAAACACGTCCACGTAAATTGTTCTTGGATGGTAGATACATTGCATAAGTTCGAAGACGATGTACGTGACAAATCACAAGACCATGAGTTGCAAAAGGTGTAGGATGAGAAGCTAATAAATGGTCTCTTTCTTCAAGTAATCGTTCAACAAGTAAACGTTCTACAATTCTATCAAAAAAAGTAATAAATTTTTTAATTAAATACAAATCACATCCAATGTCGCTATACCTACCGTAAGGATTCTCTCATTTTAACGTTTGCGCCTTTGACTTTACCCGGCCAAGTGCCTTTATTCCACCAAATATTCTTGATCCAAGTAGAAAATAAATAGACGACAAACAAACTTGGTCCCAGGGCCAAGAATGCAAAATTTAATTCATTTGATTTTAATAGCTTATCTAACGCGGCCATTGCGAGTTCCATATCTACTTTTGTCTTTTGTACTTGAATCAACAACGTTCTAATAAGATTACCTATATAAAGATAATAAAAGGTTATGTTATTGAAATATTCATAATGTTTAATACATTCAAATTACCTGTAACAGTCGATTTAAAAGGGCTCTAGATTAAAAAAAAAAAAATAAAAGTTAATATTTGATTTAAATAAGTTAAGTGATAAACCGCCTTAAAATTATCTACCTTCAATTCCTGCTCATATACTCTCAATACCATTGAGAGATCTCCATCGCGAATTCGATAAGTTAAATTAACTATCTCTTCATCATTAAGTTGACGTTGATCACGAACAAAGTCTAATACCATTCTTTCAAGAGACTTGAGTAATAGATAGTTTCCATTAGTCTTTAGATTCAATAATATTGAGTGCAATGACAAATAAAATTTGACGTACCTCTAAATCAGAATTTAAACTATCTTTCCCCATGAGCACCAACCTTCTTTCTTTGTGACGAATTGTATCCATCATCCTTATAAGGGGTTCCCAAACCCAATCACTCCAAAAATTGACAACGGTTGATTTAGCTTCTTCAAACCATTTTATAAAATCTTCCTGGGTAGTAATAATCATCCATTGAGATAACTCCGGTCTCATAACAATCATGTAAAATGTAATGGATCGCACAAGCATCATATTCAGAAACCTTGAAAATTCCCGTAACCAATCATTATTTATATATTCAAGTTTTTAGTTTTTTTTGACTGTGTAATTATTCGAAAATTATTCAGGTTTCCAAAAATGGCGCATTTAAACCTCATAATATGAGACTTATATCACAAACCTCATAGATATGATTTCTTGTTTTGTAAGCAACAACGGTCGAGATGGTGATAGGTATCCACCATCGAGTCAATGTTGACGGAGTACCATAAATAGAAATGATCCGATTAAATTGCTCATCATAACGAGGAAGGTGAGTGATGATAACGGAGCGCAAATGCGTATAAAAAGCCAATAAGGAAGGTGGTGAATCTGAAAACTTCACATTATCTACATGCTGTTGATTTAGTAAACTCCTTGGTCTTAAATAACAACTATTTCGAATTAATTCTTACCGAAAATTTTATTAATGTTAGGCATCTCTCCCTTTTCAACATCAAATCCTGTGGCTTGATTTAAAATTCTCTCCATCAGTACTATGCAATTAATTAATTTTTTTGCAATGATATCACAAAAATTAACATTCAATCGGTCTTCTTTGGTCATTCCATTTATCTCCTCTGCAATTTTTTTAAAGTCAAACCCTTTGTCTTCACATATTAATAATCCGAGACATGCTGCTTGATACTCCATAAGAGAAGTAAGCATCGATTTCTTATAATGGATTTCGTATCGGATCAAAGATACAAGTGGAGCATTCAAAAAACGCGTATGCATATATCTGGGGAAAAGGTTGATCATATAACCTAGAGAAAACGGTTGTCTTACATACAATGACGAAACATCTCGAAATTGTTGGCGAATCGTGCTAAATATAGCTCCTAATAAAGAGTATATTCGTAAAGGAGAAGCTAAAAGAGAGAAAATTTACAAATAATTAATAAAGAACGTTCGATTGAATAAGTTTTTTAAATTAAATAACCATAAACCACTAAATCACTTTGAAAAAGATGAATCAAACTCCAAAATTTGTTTCCTTCTAACTCTCCCCAATAATGAATATCGTCTGATAACGGAAGAGTCGATATCAATAAATTTTCTAATATTTTGCCATATATAGATATGGTCATTTTTGCAAGAAACAGCCATTCTAAATGAATAATCCCTCTTTCCAATTCCTCGTCTTCCCGAAATGACGCATCATTTGTAGCTGTCTTCCAATTTCCGTGGAGGCCTTGTTCAACCATATTCAATTGATTTAATATAACATCCATTTTTGGAATATCGCCTTTGTCAAGCTGGACAGAGTCAATTGCCTTTCTTAGAACTTCTGCGCGTTCGGTACCAATATCATTATCTAAACTAACGTCAGAAATGGAAGAAGTCTGAGAACTTGCCAAATCAATTTGGAAAACGGTCGAACGCCGAAGGAGTCGGAAAACATTTTCTTTAACAGAGTCAGAACTTAAGGATTGAAAAAGACTATCTAAATCTTCTTGTAACTCTTTAACTCGTTCTTGAACAAAATTCATAGTTGGGAAATTCTTAGATGCGGAGATCTCAAAAAAAAAAAAAAAATACATATTTGGTAACACAAGCACGCTAACTGTAATACGTCAAAGAAGTTAGTATCACAAAACTTTCAACTCAAGTTCATTACTAGATAGCTATTAACAAAAAAAAAATTATCATTAATTGGTGAAATTTTCACCTATTGCTCAAAAACTCAAAGCAAGAGTTGCTGAGCATCTTGCCTTCACGTTTATTAAGGAATTCTACGATTAGTTAGGGTCTACTATTTATTATAGAATCTAAGGTCATATAGTTTTAAGACCCAATACGAAAAACCAAAGCATTCCAAGGGTTAGAATGTGGAATTCGACGGCAGCTTCGATTCAAGCGGGTTCTACTTCGTCCACTAACGATCCAAGTAGAGAACAAAATTTCCAACATCAAGAAGAAGACGAAGAAGAGGAAGAGGAAGAACTTTTGCAAGAAAGCAGTGGACGATATCAAGGGGAATATTATGGTGAGTTTTCGTTTAACGATTAATTAGTTTTTCTTTGCGCTTATTTTTCAATAGAAGATAAGAGTTTGTATACTCTTGAGAGAATGTTTAAAGCTACCAAGTTTTTGCAGATATGATTGAGTGATAAAAGAAACATTCCATATCATATATTTTCATTGCCTACCTATCATATTCGAATACACTAACAAAATTTTAAATTCGAGTAACAATTTAATTCGGAGAATTTAGAGTCCTCTTTGAATCAAAAATATGATAATCGATCTCGTGTCAATCTATTAATTGAAATGATTTTCATGTCAACGAGCTTAATGATGAATTATTGATAATATATGCGCGAACAAGTTTCAGTTTAGTTAATATGAATCCGTAGATGTCTTAGTTATAATTAGTCAAAAAGTCACTATTAATCTTATTTGGACGATTTTTAATTTTAAAAGACGTTCAACATGACACTTACTCCGAATTTCTTACTTATTTTATGAATAATAAGAATCTGATACTTCCAACGACACTGGCACAGAATCTCTGACTTGGATCTCATGGTTCTGTTCCCTTTCGGGTCATGAATATTTTGCCGAAGTAGCCGAAGATTTCATAGAAGATGATTTTAATTTAACTGGTTTAAATTCGACAGTCCCGTTTTATAAAGAAGCATTGGAAATGATACTGGATGTTGAACCTGGTAAGTATTGCAAAATACGGCCTGAATTATGTTTAAATACTTTAATTACTTGAAGAACGATTTGTGTATGCATTCATCCTTTTTATTTGCTTGGTCGGGTATATAACATATTATTTGCGATGTTGTATTATGAATTATATCAAAAGTCAATTTATTCTATTAATTTCTCTTTTAGAAGAGGAAAGTTTAAAAGTCCCAGACGTCTCTCTTGTCGAAAATTCTGCAGAAGTGTTATATGGTATGATACATCAGCGCTACATATTGACGCGTCAAGGATTACAACAAATGGTAAGAATTTGTCTGATCATAATTATTATTCTTTTAATATATTCATAAGTCAATTAAAATTTATATTTATTTCTAGGTGGATAAATATGAAAATAATCATTTTGGACATTGCCCAAGAGTATATTGCCAGCCAACAGCAGTAGTTCCTTGTGGACGAAATGATCATCCTGGTTTAGAAACTGTAAAACTGTTTTGTCCAAATTGCTTAGATTTATATACGCCACCAAGTTCACGATATCATAATATTGATGGTATGATAATTATATTTAAACGTTTTAGCGTATTTTTGATTTTAATACTCAAATTTCATTTTTATAGGAGCTTATTTTGGTACAACCTTTCCCCATCTTTTATTTCAACAATTTCCGGAATTGCTTCCAAATACTCCAACAAGAATATATGAACCAAAAATCTTTGGGTTCAAAGTAAATGAAAGAAGCCGGAGTGGTCCTAGGATGCAATGGTTAAGAATGCGTCCTAATGTAGATAGTGATGAAGATGGTGAAGATGTGTCAGATATTGAGGGCGAAAATGATGATGGTGAGGATGATGAATCCTTGTTGGATCAGGGGGGTGGCGAAAATAATGGTGCGCCCGAAACAACAAATCAAAGTGGTGTATATGGGAGTGAAATAATTCGTACATATAAACTTGGTCATAAAAGTAATGAAGGAGGAAATAATGAAATGTTGAGTACGAATATAGTTAAGCAAGAAAAGCCATTTACTCAAAAGTTGCTTGTTAATACTAGAGATCAAGCCATGCGAGAAGAAGAGTGGGCAAAAGAATCCGTTCAGGATGATAATTTCGGAATATCTCCTTTAGTGACCTTACTTCCTTTACTAGCATCTTCGACTATCGACGTTCCTACGCAGACTTCTATAAAAACAACCGATTCTTCTGCTGAACCACCACTGTTATCATCGCCATCATCATCATCTTCTTCTTCATCATTGCGAACGTTACTGGAAACGTCACCGGAAACGGTATCACCAGAATCTAGCAGTAATCAAACATCCTATACTAATACAACAAATCATACACAATGTGAAAATGATGCATTAAATACTGTATCATTATCAGTATCGGGTAAGGACCATAATATAATGTTGGAAGAAAGGTCTACGATGATGGTTGAGAGTAATAAAGGTAAAAGGGTAGAACTGCTGAATTAGTAAAGTTTTGGGTTTAGGTGTGAGAAAAGACTTTTTTGACAAAATGGACATATTATTAATGATTGGAATAACTCAATCACTAGCTGTATTAGAAGAAATTAATGAAACTTCGCGAACATTTTTTCTTATTGTCCAATAAGAAGTAATTTATTTGTCTTCTTTATTTATCCATGGCTAAAAGAAAAAATGATGATAATAGAAATGATAATGAATCACATTTGATTTCTTTGTAATGTTTTTTTTTTTTTAAAAAAAAACTTTTGTATAAATAAACAAAAAAGAAAAAAAAAATTATATTATTTATTATATATTTATTGAACATCTATTTCATTAAATCAGAACTCGATTTCAACTGTCTTTAATAATAAATTTTTTTACTATAAATTCATTAAAATTTTTATTAATGTCTGTACATAAATAATAATATTCAATATTATTATCATAATCACCTCTTATCTTGGTATTTCACCAATCAAGAGTGTCTTTTCCTTTCTCATTTTCTTCATCATTTTGTATCATATTAATCGCCTTATTAAGCCATTGAGGGAAAAATATACAAGTCGATGGAGAAATTTCGCCATTTTCCGTACATTCGTTTTCAAAAAACTGAAAGAAAACGAGTTAAAAAATTTTTAATAATACTATAAACCAAAACTTATACATACTGGACATCTTCCACATGGAGCTTGAGTCCAAGCATTATTTATATTTCTAGCCCTTTTGGCTATATAAACAAATTGAGAATCAGAACGATTATCATCAGTTTTCATTGAATTTGGATCTACATTACTAATAAATTTTTTTATGATTTTTCCTTCAAATATAAGTACATCAAGAATTTGTTTTATATCAGCTTCTTCAATTTCTATTTCTGTAACTTTTGTTTCTTGTACACATTGTACAACCTTTGATAAAGTTACGTAACCGTTATAGTTTGGATAAAAGATTGCATCTTCATCCATTCCCCTTGGAAAACTCTAAACATAAAATTATACATGATTTTAATTATTGAAATGATTAAATAAACAAATAAGTAAATATATCAAAAAATAGAGTTCTTGTAATACTCTGCGATAAATAAAGTTATAACATATTGATTTTAAAGATTCCACGACAAATGTATCCGGTTCTCCATTGGTATATAGTAATCTACTTAGTGATTCATCATGAGGTTTAATATCAAATAACATATATAGCTTCTTAGTCTAAATAAAAGAGAAGGAAAAAAACACATTAAACAATAATGAAAACTTGTTAAAATTAATACCAATATCCGTATAAAAAAAAAATTTTTTTTAGCTTATGTTTTACCTTTGGTTTAACTTCTTTAATTAACTTCTGTTCTTGCATGTTCTTTAAGCTACTTTCAACTAAAGACTGTACTAATTTTATTTGTTTTTGGATATCAGTCTTCGAGATACCTGAGTAAAGATGTAACTAATTGGTGAATTAATCTACTTTATTAAGAAAAGGTATTATAATAATATATCACCTTTGCGTTCTGAATTCTCAATAAGTTCGTAAATCTCGAATTCATGGTTTTCGAGAGCTTGAAGTCTAAAAAATTTTCACGAATTATTAGTTAATCGAATACCGAAAAATACATATTTTTCAATAACTTACTTTGTTGCTGTTTCTTTAGAACGTGCTTGATACATGTATCTTTCATCATGAGTTTGCCGTTTTCTTACTAATCCCTATAATTAAATTGAGTTGGAAAAATAAATTGATAATATACCAAACCAATTGAATTTCATTTTTACACTTACAACTTCGTACAAATTGAGTAAGATATCTTGAAATATTTCCCATGAAGTATCAGGTAATATTTCTTGAATCAATTCATGGATTTTAATTTCATCAACAAAAACCTAAATTAAAAAAAAAAAATTTTTTTCACTAATCAAAAAAAAAGAGTTAACTTTTTTTTATATTTAACAAAAGGAGATCAAGAAATAATTTATTCGATAAAAGCTTACCTGTCCGCGAGAATTTATAACATCCCAAACCATCCAATCATCCTCGGTAACTTCTGATTTCTGCATTTGAAGATATGTATTCACAAACGTAATAGAGGTGATAAAACCGTTCGTTTAAATGTGATTGCCATAATGGACAAGCTACATGAACAAGTAATGACTCCTTAAGGCATAATTTTAGGCTATTCGAATTCCGGACTGATCCCAGATGATCGGATCAATCCAAATTGACCGGATTAAGGATCGGATTGCTACCAGCGGAGAATACTATATAAGTTAGGAAATAAGCACCAAATAGATGAAGCCCATTTCGCCGATAGCAACTACCGCTGCGGCATAATACAAGTGTCCGTGTTTATTGTGAGATTGTTTATAGACGACTTAAAGAAATAATTGTAATTACTAATAAATAACTTATATGACTCTTTAGGGAAAAAAAAAATAGAGCGGAAGATCAGGGGCTTTCGTGTTAAATTGGTCGAATAGAATTCAAATTGTAATAACCTTGTTTCTAAAAATACAGATGATTTTCTTCTTCAAGGTTATTAAAGTTATCGGCTCATTCTATTCGTGGATTAGACTTATCACGATAAATATATATAAACCCGCGATAATTATCTTTTTTCAACAAATTTCACGATGCCAAAAAACGTCGGATGTTTATCAGTTCTAAACGATTTATATACATTAATTCTGGGTGATGATTTAAGAGAAAGATCCAGACTAGTAAATTCGAATGAGGTTAATATACAGTATTATCAATAAAATAAGCCCATCTTTTTAAATAAAAATTTTTTTAAATGTGCAGAAAGTTGAAATTAATCATGGCCCTACATTAGTGATTCATGGTGGTGCAGGAACCATTGTCCGTGAAAATTATTCTGTACAAAAGGAATATCTCGATGCACTAAAAGAATCTTTAATGGCAGGTCATAGAATTTTACTAAGTGGAGGAAATTCAATTGACGCTGTAGAAGCTGCAGTTAGGATAATGGAAGGTTGTATTAAGATAAATTTAAAAATAAATTTACTATTTAAATCGGAATTCACTTTTTTGTGTTTAATAGATTGTCCTCTCTTTAATGCTGGCAAAGGATCTGTCTTTACAATCGGTGGAAAGGTAATCAAAGGTTTTTTTTAGGCAGCTTTATTAAATGCAACGACATTGATATGTTTTTTATAGAATGAACTTGAATCTTCAATTATGATTGGAACTTCCAATCATCCAGCCGGTGCAAGCACTTTATTACATACAGTAAAGAATCCGATTACTTTAGCTAAAACACTCTTACTTGATCCAGAGAATCCACATGTATTTCTTGGTGGTATAGTGGCTGAAGAGTATGCTGAAAAGAAAGGATTAGAAATTGTTGACCCTAGTTACTTTTGGACAAAAAAGAGATGGAAACAGCATTTGGAAGGATTGGAAAAAGATAACAATAATTATTTGGAAATGGACTCATCACCATACCCTATGGGAACTGTTGGAGCTGTTGCTGTTGATAAGAATGGGATCATTGCTACAGCTACTTCTACAGGTACATCTGAGTAATAAATCTGAGTAATAAAGCACATCCTAGCAATAATTATTTACCAATATTCTTCTTATTGATTGAAAGGTGGAATGAATAATAAGAAAGATGGCCGAATAGGAGACACACCATTGATAGCGTGTGGTACTTGGGCAGATAATGAAACTTGTGGTGTTAGTGGAACCGGTAATGGAGAGGTAAAAAGTTAACGATTTTGATTAATTATTTATCAATTATTTTAACCATTTATTTCACTATAGTTTTTTATTAGATATGGTATTGCTCAAGATGTATCATCCAGAATGCGCTATCTTGGTGAGAGTGTAGATGAAGCGGCTTATAATGTTATTAAAAATCTTGGAAAAGTTGGGGGTGGTGGAGGAGTAATTGCGTTAGACAAATATGGCAAAGGTAAGCTCTAATTGTTACTAAATTTGCAGCAAGAATCTTTTAATAATTTTACGTTTTCTCCTATGCATTAGTTGCGATGCCGTTTAATACAAGTGGAATGTATAGAGGATATATCAGAGTATCCGATGGTATACCAAATGTTTATATCTGACATTTTACATACATTCCTTTTCAAAACCTGAAGTGTTATTTTTAATGCATATATAAATATAATATTATCAGACGGGACATATTGTGTTACCTTACGTAGAAGTATATTAATAAATTATTACAAAATTATGTCTTTAAAAGAACATTAATTAATAAATTATTACAAAATTATGTCTTCAAAAAGAATTTTTCTGTTTAACGTTTTAATAAGTACATGACTGTTGCTGACTAAATAATGCCAAAAAAGGAAACATAACACCAAGTGAATGCGATTGATTCCGATTATCGATTATCTTTTTGATTTATAATTGCCGATCTTCCTAACTTTTTATATTGGTTTTTTTATAAAAAAAAAAAACAGAAAAACGGGAAACTTTAATAAGGCAGAGGAGTAAAGCGGAAAAGCACTAAAGATGTACAACAATATTTTATCTATAAAAAACCCTCATAAACCAGTTGCTTACTTCCTACTTGAACATTATCAAAAAAAAATATTCAAAATTAATAATGTCTCTAGAAGTAGCATCAACCGTTGTAAGGTTAACGCGCTCATCCTCTTTTACACATTCACATCCTAAAGCACTTAAGCCTTTTGATTCTGGTGAAATAAAAATTTTGTTGCTCGAAAATGTGAACCAGAGGGGTATATCTCTTTTAGAAAAAGAAGGATATCAGGTAAATTATAAAGTTTTCAAATTTTGTTGCAATACGGTTATCATTTTATATATTATATTAATATCTATGCACAAAATAGGTTGAATCAATCAAAAAAGCACTTCCAGAAGATGTTCTTATTGAAAAAATCCGTGATGTTCACGCGATTGGTATTCGTTCTAAAACTAAGCTCACTAAAAAAGTTATCCAGGAAGCTAAAAAACTCTTGGTGATTGGATGCTTCTGTATTGGAACTAATCAAGTTGATCTTGAAGCTGCTGCCAATCGAGGTATTGCAGTATTCAATTCTCCATTCAGCAACAGTAGAAGTGTTGCAGAATTAATTATTGCTGAGATTATTTCATTGTCTAGACAATTGGGTGATCGAAACATAGAATTACATCAAGGGAACTGGAATAAAGTTTCTTCCCAATGCTATGAAATTCGTGGAAAGACTCTTGGTAAGTTTATGTCTTTCATTTATGTAATTATGAATAATATAATATATAACATAGATTTTACCGGCATTCTTTTACAGGTATCGTAGGTTATGGTCATATTGGATCGCAATTATCGGTTCTTGCTGAAGCTATGGGAATGACAGTATTTTTCCATGATATTATTCAGCTGATGCCTATGGGGACAGCTAAACAGGTCAATACGTTGTATGAACTTTTAGAACGTTCAGATTTTGTGTCTTTACACGTTCCTGAAACAGAAGAAACTAAAAATATGATTGGAGAGGAAGAGATTGCGCGTATGAAAAAAGGAAGCTATCTAATAAATGCTTCTCGTGGCACAATTGTCCAGATTCCTCCATTGATCAAAGCTTTACAGAATGGTCATTTGCTGGGTGCTGCAATAGATGTATTTCCAAAGGAACCGGCATCAAATGGCCAATTTTATAATAATGAATTGAACTCTTGGACATCTGACCTTTTGGCTTGTAAAAATGTGATCTTAACGCCACATATTGGTTGGTTATTCTTATTTAGTATAATAATATCGGACAATTACTTATTTACTAAATTATTTTTTAATTTGAAAGGTGGATCAACTGAGGAGGCGCAGTATATGATTGGTGCTGAAGTAGGGGCTGCAATAATAAAGTATATTAACTGTGGTACTTCAATTGGCGCTGTCAACTTTCCGGAAATTGATCTTCGTGCTATTCAAGATACAGATAAAACGATTCGTTTACTTTTTTGCCATTACAATGTGCCTGGTGTACTTAGGGTATTTAGATAATGTTTAAAATATTATTTCTTTAATTAATTTGCAATATTATTATTAACATATTTAACTTATAGGAAATCAATGAAATTCTTTCCGATCACAATGTTGATAAACAATATTCAGATTCACGAGGTAATATTGCTTACATGATGGCTGATATTTCTAATGTAGACGATCAAGATATTAGAAAAATTTATGAAACCGTGAGTTCAAATAGAGCGAACATATCGACTCGAATTGTATATTAAATATTTAAATATTTTAAATATCTCTAATGTCTTTTAATTACTGTGTGATCTGATGATATTCAAGTTTTACTTTTAGCATACAATATATATGATATTGATTTAACAAATTTAACAAACTTAGTATTATATTGGCTATCTCTGATGCCATGGTTAATATGCATAAATAATAATTTTATTCTTATACAAAATTTCTTTTGACTTGCTTGGAAGACAAGCAATTAAAGTATCAAAGGTCGAAGCACTATAATTCCAACTATTTCTCCATAAAATTCTCACGGAAACTTTACACCAAAGACGATTAACTAATAAGCATGAATGTAAACTAGTTATATCATCTCCTAAATATTCGAAAATTTCGTTAAGGCAATCATCAAAAAGTAAGACGCGATTTGTTTAAAATTTGAGTTGATTAAAAAAACATGTGACAATATTTCCCTGACATCCCATCAGCGAGCATTTTGCTCAAGGTTTCCTCTTTTATATTCACCACAAAACGGATTAATTCATTTAACTTTAGCCGTCTTCGTAATGCTGACAAATTTCACATTTTTCCATTTTTTTTGAGAAATTCTGCGTCATAAATATCATGCGCTTCTATTCATATAATTCTTAGAAAATAGTACGATAATCTAATTTTCTGAAGTATCGTGCATTTATATTGCTGGATGCAACAAAAATTATTCGGTGTAGCTTCAAACTTGGCATTCTTAATTTTGAAATTTCAATTCAATTTATTGAATAATCGACTGATAACAAACAATGACATAATTTATCTAATTTCAACGTGTTAAATTAGTAAATTCAACACCAATAAAAAAAAATTTTAATTTATGTGCATAGTATGTGTTTTATAATTGTACTGCGTGAACGTCTTTCGCTTAATCATTGCTTAATAAAAATGGATAAATATAATGTATGATTTATTCATGTAATGTTATCTGCTTTTCAACGGAAAGAAAAAATAAGATTAGCCGCAGGATTTTTTTATTAAATTTTTCGCAATTTAAATGACCGATCATGCGTGGTAAGATATTTTGATCACGTGCAACCAATTCTAAAATCACATGACTGAAATTGGAATATTGTGTAACGTCGGTTTAATAGATTCCACTTGTTATCGAAATTTTTTTCTTTCTCGTTTTAGGTTGTCTCTCTTTTTACTGGCATTATTTATGGTAATGTATCCATCAACTTCATTATTAAAAACTCGTAAGTTAAAGTTTTTTACAACTTAATGAATATATTATAAGTTTCAAAAAAGGGTAATTTTTGACCAATTTATTTTTTAAATAGGATTTACGCAAAATTTTGGTATAATTACATTTAAGCAATTTAAACAAAAGGTATTTTGTTTTTATATAAAGAATTATAATAATTATTTTTGATAATAATAGCTTCATATTTATGTTTAGCGATTTGCTCATGATCTTGTCGTAAGAAAAACAACAGGGAAACCTATTATTAAATATGGTCCGGGAGGTCGGTATGTAGCCAAGAGTTTTTTATACATTAATAAATTTTTAGTAATTAATATGTATATAAATAAATGTTTATAGATCTTCGGTTAGTGGACATATAGCGACTGTTTTTGGAAGTACGGGATTTTTGGGCCGTTATCTTGTCAGCAAACTTGGTAATTGTTTTTTTACGTTGAATAATCATTTTATTTAATTAATTCTTTTTAACCAAATGTTTGTACAACAGCCAAACATGGAACTCAAGTAGTTTTGCCATATCGTGATGAAGATGCGAAAAGGCATTTAAAAGTTACCGGAGATTTAGGTCAAGTTGTTTTTTTGGTAAATAATCAATCAATATTTAATTCGAATTTTTTATGCTTTTTATTTATTATTATATCGTTTTAAAAAATTAGGAGTTCGATCTCCGTAATGAACAAAATATTATTGAAGCTGTTAGACATTCTGATATTGTCTATAACTTAATAGGAAGAGATTATGAAACTAAGTGATTATTTTATAATAAATTTTAAATGTAATTGCGCTTAATAAAGTCTTTTTTAATATTTAGAACATTATTAATATTACTTTATAAAAATATTTAATTTTAGGAATTTTACTTACGAGAAGGTTCATATAGAAGGGGCAGAAAGAATTGCGAAACTTTGTAAAAAATTTGATGTATCAAGGTTAGTTCATGTATCAGCTTTAAATGCTGATATTAATTCCCCGTCAAGATTTTTACGAACAAAGGTAATATATTTATAATTTTTCTTGATAATTTCGCTATTGTAAATTATTATTTAATTATTTTAGATTTATTATTAATAGGCATTAGGAGAAAAAGCTGTTAAAGAACAATTTCCTGATGTAACAATAGTTCGTCCTGGATATATGTTCGGTCCTGAGGATAGATTTTTGAATAGATTATCAGGTTCGTTATAATTAATTTTATATAATAAATTTTTAAATAATGATAATAACACTAATAATTTAGGATTTCCATATGAATTAATGGTTAACCATGGAGAAACATTATTTAGTCCAGTTTACGTATGTATAAAATATATAAAAATTAGATCAAATTATTGTCTTTTAACATATCTTTATTACAGGTAATTGATGTGGCAACAGCGTTAGAAACGATGATGAAAAATGAAACAACAATTTCTTCAACATATGAATTATATGGACCGGCTGTATATAGTATGCGAGAAATTTATGATATTATTGACGATATTATGAAGAAAAAGCGTACACGTTTGAATGTACCTAGCCCGATTGCATTAGGTATTACAAAATTATTAACTTATTTACCTTGGCCTTATTTAACACCAGATGAAATTGAGAGGTATTGTATAAGTGATAAACCTGGCAAAGCAGTAGGAGGTGGGGAAGTAAAAACCTTTAGTGATTTGGGTGTTGAACTTGTTGATTTAGAAAGTAAAGCTATTCAAGTTGTTAGAAGATATAGGAGTAATACTCATTTTGATCAGCCTATTAGTAAAAATATTGGTAAAGTTAAAAAAGGTGTTTACCATGTTGAATACTGAAGAGGGCCGTAATTTTGTTGTATTGAATTTTGACATTATTTTTAAAATGGATTATTAATGCGTATTTGTCCTTTAGATTTATCGAATAAGATAATAAAAATAACATATTTATAAATATAAATTAATTAAATGATATCATGTGTGTAAAAAACTCATGTTGGGTGAAACCTAAAGGTTTTTATCTGTGCATATACTATTAGCCTTGTAGGAAATATTGAAGTTTACATTCCCGTGAAAGTCATATTATATTTAAAAATTATTATGCATTTTTATATTCCCAATTTTCCATAATCAGTAAATTTTCATAATAAACAAATAATTTAGTAATTGATTAAAAATAACCATCATTATTAAATGTCAAATTATTATAGTGTCTATAAGATATAACATAAATAAGAAAATATTCGTGATAAATTCATTCAATATGTTTTTCTTTACCCTTTGACATCTTTTTTTGTATTTTTTCATTATTAATATTTTGTTCAATATGATTCAATAATTCTCTCGCATCAGAGAAAAATTTTAACATATATGGATTAAGATCTGGACATGATTTATCTGAATGTAATAATATCAACTAAAATATTAAATAAAAAAAGAATAAATTAATAAATCTGTAACAAAACATATATAAAAAAAATTAAATAGCAAATACTTTCTTCCAAGAATTTTTTACTGTTTTCTTGATGATCAAATATGTTAACAAGGTCATTCAACTTTTATAAGAAATTAGAATAAAATCAATGTCAAATTATATTGCTGAACTGAATCATAAGAAAAATTTTTACTTACCCTATCATAAAAATTGTTTATATCGTTATGATCATTAATATAATCATCGATTAATTTCAATTTTTCTCTATCCAATCTTGAAGTTTTAACATTTTGCCAAAGCTCTTCGAAATCATCTGTTTTTGCGTCAGAGTTTACGTGGGATCTTGCAGGAATGCTTGGCGTCGAATTATCTTTTACTCCCTAGTATTCCGATTGTTAGCCATTATTAAAATTCACAGAGTTAAACAAAAAAAATAATGACTTCGTATTTACCTTCTTACAACGTAATCTTATCCATCGTCTTCGACGAACAAAAGAACGAAATGGCTGATAGCACCCTATAAAAATTATATAACTTATACTTCTAAATAACATAAAAAAAAAAGGTCTAATTTAAAATAACTTACCATGCCAACTAGAATTATGAAAGTTAAGAGCATATTCCCATCCCTCTAATAATTGAAACTATATCTTATCAAAAGTTTTCAAATAATAAATAAATGCGAAGAAATATAATCGAAAGTGGTGTTACCTTCGTCAATATCGCCAGACATATCGATCATCCATTCTTTATGAACCTATATGAAAAGTGAAAAAATATACTTAACTTACGATATAAAATGAAATAAATCACTTATAAAACAATCACAACGCACCCACCCACTCCCAAGTTGGATCTGGTAATTGATAATTATGAATATCCATCGGTGAATATCTATTAAATTGAAAATTAAATATTTGTAAAAAATAAATAAAACACAAAACACGAACATTATATAAAAGTACTTTTGATTTTTATCGGTCCATGTGTGTGGGTCAATTTGATTTAAAGCTTTGGAACTAAATTTTGGTAATCCAAATACAAATAAACTACGAAAGGGCAAAAATAAATATTAATGAAGTGATATATTGTGATTAAATGATAAAGATGCTTACCCTCTTTGATTTTCATAAAGAATGTCATATGCGTAATTGTTTTTAGTTATTTGTTCGCTTGTAATCGACTCAGGGTTCTAAATAATAAAGTAATTTTTAAAAGAATTTATATTTACTTTTTAAGAAATTTATCATACCTTCTGTTCTCTTATGATCTTGATTGACTCAAACTTATTTGGTTTTTTCGATTTAGAATCTAAGACCGTCCAAGGAGGTGCAGCATTCGATTCTTCAATTATTTCGTCGTTTTCCATTGTTAAAAAAAATAAAGTTGATCAATTAGGTTAACGTTTTATTTATAGTTATGTCAAAGTTTCAGTTACATATGCTTTATCTTTCATAGTCTAGGTCAAATAATTACGTAACATATATCTCATTATTTTACACCACAAGGAACATTGAATTTATTTTTAAGTAAACAATTTGTACAACAATTTGTACGAGTTTAATAAATCTTGAGCCCTTAATAATTTAATTTAAATACCTAATTTAGTATTTTGTTAATACTAAATGTTTGTTTATTTTTATACTACTCAGTTTCTTTTGGTCCAATACTTTTCTCTTTGAATGCAACATAACTTATTATTAACAAATAAAGTTTACTGCAATTATTTATTATTATTATTTAGTTTCTATCTGAATAATATTTATAAGAGGGGTTTCTTTCGTTCCTTTTTTCTCACTTTTTAATTATGAGATCGCCTTCACCAGGTGCGCGTTCACCCTCAGAATCGCATACATCGTTACCAATAAATGATGAAAAATATACTTTTCATTCATCGTCAAACATGTATTATACAAGAACAAATCGTTTACAATTAGCATTAAATAAAATAAAGAAGAAAATATATCGTATACCTATGCGAATGAAACTATTAACTTTCTTTACTTTAATACTACTTAGTTTTGCAATGATAAAAGGATTAATGATATTTACTTCTGGTGTGTCATCATGGATGAATACCATTCCTCCTCTTATAATTGGTAAGTTTTTGGATATTATTCTTTTTTGGCTAAACGTTAAATACGCGCTAACTATTTTATGGAAATCTGAAAATTTATTTCCCGTCAAAAAAAAATGTGAAATATTTACAAAAATAGAAAAACAAGATTATTCACCAGTAAAATATGTAGAAATAGACCCAAATGCATCAACAGAATTACCAGAAGGAGTTTCGATTTATCACGTTACTAAAGAATTCGGAGAAGCATCATTAAGAGGGTTAGGACAAATGGTAACAGGATTATCACGAGCTCAATCAACAAATACATCAATAATAGTTAATGTGGTGATGCCATATTATTCATTTTTAAGTAAATTATATCGACCACACAAATTCGCACAATTCGTAATTAAAGTTCGAGATAGAAATGGAGTATGGAAAGATGTTAAATTTTTAGTTTACAGACTCTTTTGGAATATAATGAACAATGAAGATGTATTAGCAAATAATTCAAAAGAAAATCCATCTCATATAATCAGTGTATTTATGATTGGGCCAGCATCAAATGTTGTACCATTAAATCAAGCATTTAAAGCGCCAAACAGAGCAAAAATTTATAGTACCAAATCAGATTTACCACTCGAATGGATGGACTTATATTTTTGCAAAGCTGCCGCCGAATTTATTACTTATAGAAATATAATGATTGATACTCCATTATTCGCTAAAAGTGACACGAGAGGCGTTGATATTGTACATATTCATGGTTCATCTAATGCACTCACAATAGAATTTCTTAAAAAATTTCATAAAAGTGGGAAACTTGGAAAGAAAATTCCTGCTATAATTTATACAATTCATGATTATTTAGAGGAACAACTTTATTCTAATGATATAATTAACATACAAAAATTCATTGAATTTGATAAATTTCAACAAGATAAACCCCAATATTTTTATAATAATCGTATGTATATGTCAGGTTACGCTATAGATAACTCACAAATAGTAACATTTGTATCAAAAACTTTAGCAAAAGAAATGATTGAAGGTCCAATGGAATTTCCGTTTAGAGAATTAATTATGCCAAATATATTGAATAAAGCAAAATTAGGACAATGGTTTGGGATAACAAGCGGAATAGATTTTACTGCATATAATCCATTTAATGATACAATGTTAGTTGAAAGTAATGCTAATTTTCCAAAAAATATTTATAATTTTGATCCAGTCCTTTTGTACGCAGAATCAATTGAGGGAGCATCACAAGAATTAGTTGCAACATCAAAACAAAGTGCAAAAGCCTATTTAATTAGAGAAGGTTTATTAAATAAAGAGGATTTAATTAGACCCTTAATATTATATATTGGAAGATTTGAGTATAGTAAAGGATTACAATTCTTTAATGTTGCAGTTGAATTGTTTGTGAAAATGGATGCGAAGTTTATTATAATGGGGCAAAAAAATAATTATCCTTCAGAAAAGTTAAAAAGATTATCAGCCAATTCACCTGATAATATTATTTATATAGATGATTTAGAATTTCAGAAAGATTGGGATGTAATATATAGAGCTGCTTCAGATATATTATTTATTCCAAGCTTAACTGAAAGTTCTGGATCAGTTGCAGCTGAAGGTTTATTATTTGGGATGCCTATCATTAGCACAGGTGTTGGCGGTTTAAAAGAATTCCTGGTTAATAAAACTGAAAATGATAACAAAGCTGATTATAATTCTTATTTATTTGAATTGGTTGATGATCTAATTATTAGTTTATCTTTTGATAATATGAAATTGGCTATAATAGAGGCTATTAATGATTGGAAAAGAATGAATGCTGATATAAGAGAAAAAGAAATTTTTTTAAGAAAATTAATTAAAGATGCTTTTAAATTAAGTTGGAATCGTCCTGAAGGACCTGTTGAACATTATTTAAAAATTTATAAAATGGCTATGTTACAAATTCATGATAAATTAGAAGAAGAATTATGGTTGGATTATGATAATAATGACTATATATTTGATGATTAAACGTTTTGATGATAATAAAAAAAAGAAAAGAAGAAAATTAAAAAAAAAAATTAAAAAATAAAAAATTTAAAGAGATTTTCAGTTTAGTTTTCTTAAATATATAGGATATTTGTTAGATTTCTTTTTTTTTGTACTATTAATAAATTGCATAATATGAATATAAGTGTCAAATGTTTTATCTAGATTAATTAATAAAATAAATTATATATAACGTTATTGGTTACTAATAATGAGCATTCGTTCAAACTGATAAGAAACAGTGATGAGTTGAAATTATGTTACATTCTGAATGGTTTTAGCATGTTGGGAGAGAAGCATTATTTCTTTCCTAATAAATAAATAATAACAGCAAGCTCATATATTTACAAGAGTTATAAAAAAAATAGAAAATCATCAAACTGCTTGGAGGTTTCGGTCTTTCTTTTACTTTGTGGTGATTTTGCCAAAATCCAAATCTTAAATTTAACATTATGAATTTATGAACCTAATTGAAATACAGTAGAAACTAGAAAGTAAGACCAAAACTTCTTTTTTGCAATGATAAAATTCATAAATTTGAAGATTCAAAATGTTGTGCACTTCATTTTTATTTTTAGGTGACGGATAATCATAATAATATTCAAATCGATAAGCTTAATGGGAGTTTTTATCGATTCATGAGAGAACACTCGCTTGAGATAGTATTAAAATAAGGCATCCAAAATCAAAGAATAGTTTTGATTCTAATAAGATCGAGAATATAGATTACGACATAATTGGGGATATATTTCGCCCATATAGCAAATTTTTTTTTTGGACTACAAGAAAATAAAGATGATTTTCGCTATATCAAAAAAAAAGATAATCACATAACTTAGTACATAAACTCATTTGGTATGGCGTGCAAGTTCTTTGTCATAAAAAATGATAAAAATTCAAAAATACGGTATCTTCGCTATCATTTTTATTACAGTTTGTTAAATTCGATCGTTATATTAAATGATTATTGGTTATAAAAAAAATTCTTTCTCATTATATAAAAATTCGCTGTAGTAATTTATAGATACGATTTTCATATGTTTGTGTTACTAAATTTTCCGATCAGCTTTTTTTTTTCTTTTTTTTTAGGAATAGTTAAGTATATAAATACTCGTTATTTATCTAAATATGATTTATCTATTTAATGTGCGCTTTGTCCAATTTATAATCGATGTTCTGTGATTTCACGCTCTGTTTACCTTTTAAATTAACAATTTAGCAGTATATAGTTGATTTATAAATGGAGATTATCAAATCAAAGTAAAAAACAAAATCTAGATATTTAACCGGTTTATCACTTATAAAAAAGGCTCGTATATCAACTTTTTATCATAAAAATTTTTTGTAAACTTGTTTATAGGTCCCAAGATGTCCAATATTATAGGTCAACCTATAACTCATGATACGTTATTAAAAACTGTCAATACATATCCTTTAATTGACAATCATGCTCATAATCTTTTGGACTCATTAACATCGTTATCATGCCCATTAGAAATCTGTTTTTCTGAAGCAAATGGTGAAGCATTACAAAATGCAATTGAAACCTGTGCATTAAAACGTGGTGTACAACAACTTGCTAAACTTTATAATTGTGAAGCAACGTTAGAAGCTATTAAGAATGTTACCGATATTAAATCTTATGATGAATTGTGTAATATATGTTTTGAACCCACCGGAATTCAATGTCTTCTATTGGATGATGGTCTTGATTCGTTAGATGGACTTCGTAGTGTGGAAAGTCATGTAGGATTGGTTAAATGTGCAAAACGAATTGTTAGAATTGAACAAATTGCTGAGCAAGTTATTGGCGATTTAGCCAAAACCTTTAAAACTTCGGAACCTGAATTTGTAGTGGAATTAAAATCTTTTCGAGATCCTCTTATTGAAAAATTCGAATCATTAGCAAATTCTGATCTTGTGGTTTCTTTTAAAAGTATCGCAGCTTATAGAACTGGATTAAATATTAATTGTAACGTTAATGATGAAACTGTCGCATTTTCTTTAGCTAACTTTGTTTTAAAATGTGTAAAATCTGAGAAACAAGAAGTTAGACTTGTTGATAAAATTCTTATTGATTATATTTTAAAGTTAGCTATTGAGATTGCTGTTAAGTATGATATCCCTATTCAATTCCACACAGGTATCGTGAATCATACGTTTTTAAATAATTGGATTTTTTTTTTCTCATTTATTTAAATAATATAAATCTTCGATTCAATTGTTTCGTTAGGATTTGGTGATAATGATCTTGATCTTCTTGCATCAAATCCTCTTTATCTTCGAGAATTAATTGAAACATATCCAACTGCAAAGATTGTTTTGTTACATTCTGCGTATCCTTATACGCGTCAAGCGGGATACCTTGCTTCTGTATATTCTAATGTTTATGTTGATTTTGGTCTTGTATTTCCCTTAATTTCTGCAACGGGACAACAAGCAAACTTAAAAGAATTGGTAAGTATAAATATGATTATTTTAAAATTATTTTCTTTAATATTAAAATAAGTTCATTATTATTATTATTCAGTTTGAAATTTGTCCGAGTAACAAAATTTTGTTTAGTACAGGTAAAATAATTTTAATATGCTCAATGGATACAATAGAAGTATAGAACACTTTTGAATAAAATTTTTGATTATTATTTTAGATGGACATTATCTTCCGGAATCATTTTATGTTGCGGTAATTCAAGTTAGAGAAACTTTGGGCAAAGTTTTACTCGAATCCGTAGAAAATAAGGATTTTACTATAGAAGAAGCGGTAAAAATAGCCAAACAAGTTATGTTTGATAATTCTAATAAACTATATAAATTAAACTTAGTACCAGAAATCATTACAAATCAAGGTAATAAATTTCTATTCTTTTATAATTATATTTGTGTGTATTTTAAATCCCTTATTCTCCTTTTTTTTAGAGCATGCCACTGAAACATTCACTGGAGTTTCAAAATTTGCACTTAAAAAACTTAAATATAATGGAGTAAAATATGTACGGTTAGGATGGTTAGACGTTACAAATCTTCTTCGATTCCGAGTAATTCCAATTGATCGATTCATTGAATACACAGCTTCCCGTGGAGTAACAATTGCAAGATGTTTAAATGCACTTCCTGTTTATGCAGATGTTGTATTAAAAGGATTTAGTCCTGCAGGAGAAATTTTATTAAAACCTGATTTAAATACTATTGTACAATTACCTTATCATCCTACACATGCTTTTGTTCATTCATTATGGGAAAATAAATGGACTCCAAGTGATGCAGAATATGATTCAACATCGAGTGAACCTTCATGTTTTACGTCATGTCCAAGAGTATGCTTGAAAAATATAATTGAACTTGCAAGAAAAGAATTTGGAATTTATTTTTTAGCTGGGATTGAATCAGAATTTGTATTATTAAAAAATCATAATATTCATAAACCTTATCAACCTGATGCCGTTGATAATACGTTATACTCTTCTTCAGCGGCTTTTCAAAATCGTTCTACATTATCAACTATTGATGAGATGGTCGAAGCTTTACAAAATCAAAATATTGAAGTGGAACAATTTCATTCAGAGTCGAGTCCGGGTCAGTTTGAAATTATCACCGGGCCTGATAATCCTTTAACTGCCGCTGATAAAGTTGTCGTAACACGACAAACCATTTACGATGTTGCAGCTAAGAATTGTCTTAAAGCTACTTTTATACCAAAACCTTTCGATGAAACAGGTAATTATTAATTATATTCTATTAAATTGATCTCTTTTTAACTAATTCTTTTATTTTTTATTTTTATTCTTACTTTTTTTTAATTTATAGCTGGAACAGCTGCACATATTCACATCTCTGTTAATGAACTTGATCAAAGCAAAAAGATTTATGATAATCATCATTCAAAATTATCTCGTAAAGAAAGATCATTTATTGCAGGTGTATTACAACATTTGAAAGCAATAGCTGCTTTAACATTACCAACAATTAATTCTTACGAAAGGACCGCTGATCATCATTGGACCGGTAAATGGATTTGTTGGGGTGTTGAAAATAGGTAAAATTTGAACATAAAATATTCGTAGATATGGTAATTATTTTTAATACTTTTTTTTTTTTGGATAATAGAGAAACACCTATTAGAGTATGTTATCGTCCTAAGGAAGGAATTAAGGAAGGAATGGATGTTAATTTTGAATTTAAATGTGTTGATGCTACAGCAAATCCATACATAGCTTTAGCTGCTTTGCTTAGTGCTGGTATCGACGGTATTAAAAAAGGATTGGAATTAAATATGCTTGATTGTCAAGGTAAAAAAAATCAAATAATTATATATAAACAAATTTCTCATTTCTAACATTTTGTAATTGAATTTTAAGATGATCCCGCAAGTTTATCTCCTGAAGCTCGTGCTAAACTAGGAATTACCGAACGACTGCCTGATACCCTAGAAGATTCTTTATCCGAATTGAAAAAAGATGAAGGTTTAGCTAAATCTATCGGAGAAGATATTATTAAATGTTTTATTACTGTTAAAGAGGTATGTAAATTATTTATCTATTTATTTTGTTTTATTATTGAATTAACCATTTTTTTTTTTTTAAAAAAAAAAAAGAGCGAATTAGACTATTTTAAATCTGTCTCTAAAGATAAGTTGTATCAAATTCTTATTGACAGGTATTAAATAATTAATAGTTAATTTATAAATTAAAAAAATAAATTTGAAACTATTAATACATTGGAGAAAGTAATCTATATTTAATAAATAATATGAACATTTTGCATGAATTTTATTTATTATTCATAATTTATATCTTCACACGTATACTGTGTTTGAGGAATATTTGAATAAATTTCGTAGCGTAATTCCATATTTCCTATATTTCTCATACAAGATAATTTTGTTCCTATATGTTCCTATATATGTTGAAGTTTCATAATGAATATCAGAAATAACTATTTAATTATTTATTTAACTATATATTATTCGTTACTATCCTCGTTACTATCCCCTCAATTTAATAATATTAATTTATTTCAATAAAAAAAAGACTTAAATTCAACACAGAAAAACATAAATAATATAGGCTGATTATGATTATGAATTGAAATAGAAGTATGAAAATGACAATAAAGTTGGACTTACAACTTCATTTACGCGCTTGCCATTGCCATGCTGGATCCGATGACGATGGTATGATGGGTTTATTGCTACTATAATGAAAAAATTATAAATTCTTTTATTATTAAACAGATCAAGCGATAAACACAAAAAAAAAAAGAAATATATATATATAATATCATACGCAGATGTTGAAGTAACTGATGGACTTCCAAAACCGCCACTGCTTCCTGCACTACAATATACAAAAAGACAAGATAATGTAAATTTAACATTGCAAAAACAATATAAATGAAAAAATTATTTCAAAATACCTTGCAAAACGAGCGAAACCACCACCACTTGGAGTTTTCAGTGCGGATGTATTTATAGGATACGGTGATCCAAACGGAAGTGTTTGCATACCAAATACCGGTTGTGCTTGACCCAAACCAACTTGTCCAAAAGTTGCTTCTGGCCGTCCAAAAGAAGGTGTTTGCCCGAATCCCGACTGTCCAAATGTGGGTTGTCCAAATGTGGGTTGTGCAAGAGCATTGGGTATTTGAGGTGATTGACCAAACGATTGATGTCCGAATGTCGGCTGTGACTGCGTTAGACTAAATGCGTTAGCATTCTGAGGCGGTGTAGCAAACGCGGTTGGAACATTACTACCACCAATGTTAAATGCATTTGGTGTAAGTGAAGAATGCGTAGGTGTCGTTTGTCCGAAAGATGATGACTCTCTCGAATTAAATAATCCAAGACTTGTAGCGCCAAGATCTTTAGCGAACTTGTTTAAATCATCTTCCTCATTTGTAACAACTTTTCCTTCTCCAACATTTGATTCAGCTGTTATTTCACCAGGTTCAGATACTTGAAATTTCTCCTCCAATGAGGTGACTGGCTCTGTAATTTCCTCTTTCTTTTCAGATTCAGCAGCTAGTTTTTCAATTGCTTCGGAAGATAGAATGTCAGAACTTACATCATATTGAAGTTCTGATACTTTTGATATACTTGATATTTCGCCTTCAGTAATTTTATTTAATTTAGCATCAAGGGAATCTTCTGAAAAATCCTGTGTTGTACTTGATTGTTCCGATGTTAAAGTGTCTTTTTGTTCATTGCTTAAACTGTAAGAAACGCCTTCATCTGTTTTAGGAGAATCTGGTGATGATATAAAATAGTCCGATAAAGTACCAGTATTATTATTAATATCAGAGAACTTTGGTGGTTCATAGGAATTGTCTTCGAAAGGATCAATTTGTAATCTAGCGATTGGATCTTCATAATTGGTCAAATTGATTCGTGAAAAGCGGTCCGAATCGATAATATTTTCAAAATTTTGCTCTTCAGTGATTTCGTCGTCTTCGTCTTCAGATTGCTCTTGAAACCTTACTCTTGTTTCTCTTAATGGCATACGTTCATATGTTGAATTATTACTCACATACACATTATCATTAACATCATAATTAATGTCTTCACTAACATCATCACTATCATCATCATCGTTAACATCATCTCTTTTCTTTTCATAATAGCGTAATCTCATTTCTCTTAATTCTGAAACTTTTTGGTTATATTTTTGCGAATACTCATTCGTATCTTCACTTATAGGAAGACTAAAATCAGTGTATGTATTCTTTTTTATTGGAGTATCTAATTCATTATAATAATCACTTTCTTCATCAAAAGAGAAACTATTTCTAAGTGGACTGCCATATTTATTTCTCTCTATAGAATCTTTCAACTTATCTATGCCTATTTGTGCCGAACCACGAGTTTTAATTGGACTTTTCTTTCTTGGTGAGATAATTTTAGGCGATGTACGCGATCGCACTACAAAATTTATAAACGATAAAATTATTAATAAATTTTATAAAGATATCTTGAAAACAATTTATAATGTAATAACTCCACCTGGTTCAATATCACTATAAAGGTTTGTCCCATAAGGTATTTTTCTCTTGCTTTTATTTATATTTGAAAATTTAAATAATTTCCATTCTTTCTTTATTATTTGATTAGTTTTTTCTTCAGCTTCAGCTGAAAAATTTACAGGTATTGTACTCTTTCTAGTTTCATGTTCAATTTGCTGAGACACAAAATCGTTGGAATGTTCATTGAAGTTCATAGATGAAAGTCGCTCAGTAATCGAATCTAATTGAGTATTTAACTGTTCTATTTGAGATGCATTACTGTATAAGCCTTTACTAATATTTTGAATTGAACGATCAATATACTCTAAAGGAGGTTGTCTAGATTCATAAAGAAAAAAAATAAATAATATATATTTAGTATAATTAAATAAATTATTCGAACAAACTACTAAATAATCACCCTGCAAATCTATTCGCTTTATGATCCTTAATTTGCTCGTATAACATGTCTAATTGTTTTTCTAATTCCTCTGCGTTTTCTTTAACATTCTAAAATTGTAAATTAAATTAAATTTAGTTATCTTGATACGCTACCTAAATATGGTAAATATGGGAATTAGTTTTTACCTGAAAAGCCTTTTTGTACTTTTCAGTAATCCTTGATTGTATTGTTCCACGACGAGGAGTAACTTCTTGAGCTGATACTAACAATCCAATCTCCTGCTTTGCCATAGCATCTTCTATTGTAAATAACAATAAATAAACATTTGAATTAAAGTATTTAAACTAAAATATATATGAGAAATAATATAGATAACCTTTTACAAAATTAAGATTTAAATCGGTAGTCTCTTGATTCAAATTACTAAGATACTCAATTATATTTTTAAAATCCTTTTCCAACCGCTTGGTCTCTTGTGCTATTATAGGAAAATCTCCAATCGACCATTCGTTAGGATTTTCAAGGCTGTTCGCTTTTGTCCGTTCATTATATTTTGCTATGTAATTTTCCTCGATATCATCGATTAAAAATTGAACCTAAAATAAAAAGGACAGAGAAATTATTATGAATAACAGGTATAAAAATAAAAAATAAACGATTGATCACATACTTCTTGAATGCCTTTCTCGGTCGCAACTCGTCGTATTTCGTGTGGTGATCTTTCTCTGTTAATGTCGAGTTCTGTAGGACTTGTTTGATTTATTTTTGAAGGTGTATTCTGAGAGTTGGAACCCATAGTTGCAATTGTAGTATTATTCATTAAGTTAGGACGACCAAGCGGAGAAAAATTATTTTTTGGTATATTTGAGGAAATAACAGGAGCAGATACGTTATTGTTCACATAAGTCATAGAAGTTTGTGCGCTAACAGGGATAGTTCCTAACATATTTGGACCTGTATTAATAACAGCTGCTGTTGGACCTGCTTTTGGACTGGTGTTAATAGGAACTTTTGGACCGGTGTTAATAGGAACTTTTGGATCGATGTTAATAGGAACTTTTGGACCGGTGTTAATAGGAACTTTTGGACCGGTGTTAATAGGAACTTTTGGACCGGTATTAATAGGAACTTTTGAACCGGTATTAATAGGAACTTTTGGACCGGTGGTAATATCATCTTTTGGACCGGTAGTAATGGCATCTGAAGGACCGGTAGCAGGAATGGGTATTGAAACTGTCATTCCGGAGTAACTTGTTCCGTTTTGACATGCATTTTTTTGGAAACAATGATATGCCAAAACTTCACTTTCGTTATTATAAATTAAAAGAATGGGAACTGGTGGTATTTCACTTTCTTCGTCTCCCGTTAATTTCGTAGACCAAATATCTGTAGAAGATAGATCAAGTGCCATTCCAATAGGTACTGTCTCATTATCTGAAATTGGAAGAATCGCACGGGCAGTTTCTGAAAGACTCCAACTAGACCATCCATTAGTTTCATTACGACCAATTATATTTGTATCAGAAGAATTTGCACAGGCACCAATAACAACATTTTTCAAATCCGGTCCCCTAAAATTTAAGCAATGAGATTAGAAGGTGCTGTTAAATTACTTGACATAAAATCATATTGAGAAGATCCAGTATTTTTACCATTCCTTAATAGATTCCATAAAGAAATAAGAGGTCCTTTCGTTTCCATTACTCGGATAACAAATATCTTGAACTTTACTATAAACAGTCTTTAATTTATTCTCTTTATTCTCGTATGATATAACGTATTCTACGTATTCAGAGGTTTCATCTTCAACAACCGGATAATATGTTACTATAAATATATTATTTTCTAGCCAGAGAATATTCCTAACTATAAAATAAAAAATAAGATACTTTTTAAAATTATAAAAAAAATATATATATTTCCTTATAAATCATTGATAAAACAATATACCACAATGAGCAGGCTGCTGTATTTCTGGTGGTGCTAGACGTACAGCTTTTTCATTTCCCTCAGGAGTAAATTGGACAAGTTTTCCAGATTGACTACCACAAACCAATTGCTTTCCTTTTGGTGACCAGCATACTTTAAGTGATGACAATAAAAAGTTAACAATCAGTAATTATTAAGTATCCATTTTTTGAAAATTTATCGCTTACTAGCTGTAACTTGATCGCCAATTTTAGAATTTTGTATGGAACCGATATCTACATTTGAAATAAAATCTTTAATAAATACAACGCCTGAAACAAGTAGGAATGCGATAACATTATTCCTTTCTCCAGGATTAGGACGAATATCCATGATATTATCCGAAAATTTCATAGTTTGATATGGTTGAATTTCAGAAGACTATATACAGACAACGAAATAGATAATAGATCGTAATAAATCGCATTTAATAGTACAAGAATATAAATTTCTATCAAAAACAATTTTAAGAAAAAAGAAAATATGCTATACCATAGTTGAAAATTTGCTAACATCGTAATATAAGACTTGACCATCTTCAATACCAACGACTATAGTGAGTTGATCTGATGTCAACCTCAAAAAATGAACGCGTCCTTTGGGTATATCAATATGAATTCTTTGATTAAATGGTTCGTTTGAAGCTTCTTCAAAAGCTTTGCGTAAATTATTTGTAGACGCGTAAATAAATCCTATCAATTATAAAAAAAAAGAATATACAATAAATTAAATCAAACATGATTAAAAGACTATAAAAGTTATATTAATTATATAACCTTTAGATGTTCCTGCCACAAAATAACCATATAAATTAGAGACGGCTAACAGTGAGGAGTATGAAGGTATAGATTCCTCATCAAAAATATCTTTTGAAAGTTTTATGCTTATTACATTTTTATTTAGTTGTAAAAACTCAAAAAACTAAAAAGTGAAAATATATTAAGTTAAAGTTCTTGCTTCAAGATCATAAAGGAATTAATAAGCTAACTTACTTCTACGTTAAGTTCTTCAAGAGTAGTTTCTTCGATTTCTTCGAGCATTATTGTAACTTTAGGAATACTTATTTAAGATCGCGTCGAATATTCAATTATTCTATTATTTTACAAAAACTAAATTAGAATTAAGTTGAACTATGAAAAGATGATCATTTTATAATTTCAAATTAACTAAATCATGTGACGTATGATTAGAAATCTCAATAAAATATAGGTTCAATCTAATAACGTTAGAAATAAATAATAATACAAATAAGACTCAAGGTAATTTTGGATTTATTAAAGTTAATTCTTTAGATAAAGAATTCGATTAGGACCTTCTTTTGGAGACATATCACACATGTACTTTTGGGATAACATTAAAAATTTAGATATTCAATTATTCAAGTATTTATTAAATACAAATGGGGAGACATACTGTATCTTTTGTCAGTTTTTAGAAACAATGATTTCATTCATATGTTATTTCTTCTGATTATTAATTATGTTTGCGCATAATTTTACTGTTTGTAAATATGTTTTGTATTTACTGTGCCACATCTGAAATCATGGTCATGATGTATCTATCGATGGGTGTAAAGTGTTTTAGTTCAATGATTTATTATTAGGCTTATTATTTAACAAGGATGAACGAGGAAAAAGTTCCTTTAATAGAATTCCCTATGAAAAGTTATGAATATACTTTAGGGAATATATCAGCATCCCAAGATAATTATGAATATTGGAGTCCACCTTTACCAACTGCCATAGACATGTATTGGCAATTAAATTTCATGAGCGTAAATTATCTTTTTTTTTTTCTTTCATTAAATAAAAAATTTCTAACATAAAAAATTAATCACGTATATTTGCATATTTTATATATATATATATATATATGTATATAAAAAGAGATTTGAAAATAATACAAAGTATTGTGTGTTGGGTGTATACGCAATACCGAATGAAAAGGAATTGAAAGATGATTTAACTTGGTCATCTCGTAGAGCATTCCATATATATATTTATATTCGAACTGAAGAAAAATTTTTAAGGAAGGATCATACACCAACCAAATTGTTTAATAACTCAAGAAAATTTATTACAGGTAAAATTGATCATTTAATTTATTTCATTATAATGATAATTAAAAATAAATCTTTTTATATTTGAAGGATTAAATACAATATTTGAAAAGTCAAAGTTACCAGAGAAATTTATAATTGGTATCGAATTTAAAAGATCTGAAAGTTATAGATTTTTAAACCTTTCACCCAATGTCAACCAAAATTTAATTGAAGCATGGACGGAGCTTTATAATATTGAAGAGGATTCCTCTATTAAATTCATAATCAATGAAGTTTCAGATCGATCGTCCAAAAACAAGCCAAAAGAACGACAAAAAGTCCATCAACAAACAAAAATCGTAGAAACAACTATCAACAAGTCATTTCTTGATAAAAGATCATCATATTTTGATTTTTCATCAATATTTACAATTGAAGAATCCATGATAACTTTAAACGTTATTTTTACAGAAGCTTTCTTGGAATTTATTAGATATATTTATACTGATCAAATCTGTTTTTTGATTAATGTTTATGATGAAGATTCTATCAATCTTACGAATAAACTATTTGATATTGCAGATGATTAGATGATTATGAAGCTAATGAATTAAAAGATAGAATCGGAGATTTTACCGAGGGATATTTAAATAAAATTCATATACTGTTTATGTATATGTACCGTATATATAATTTATGGATTATATGGTTGCTAATTAATGTGATATATTATAACAAGTAAAGTTTATAATAAAAAAAAAAAAAATTATTGCTATAATAAACAAAAATAGATAATAGATATCATATAAATAGAAAAAAAGAATTATTTACTTGACTTTAAAATATTTAATAGGATTATTAGTGACTAAAAAAAAAAATCCTGGCTAATTATAAATTGCAAATCATTCTATAAATATTCAAGAAATTTACTTTTTCTTTCTTATAACATAAAACGTATTACAACTAGTTAATTATAGATTTCATCCTTTAAATTGGGCTTTGTTAACGTTTTAAAACTTAAATTTTTGTTACACAAGTAATTTGTTTGTAAATCTTTCCAAATGATCTTAATACACATTACACATAAACAATTATTATACACGCCCGATGTATAAATTCTGTTTCATTAGTTTAGTTAAGAATAAAATTCTTTTTTTCCTCTCTCTCCATTTTGTAAAATATAGAGATTTTTTTTTTCTCTGATGCAAAAGATCTAATAAATAAAATATATATTTAATACTTTTTTTTACGAAATTTATCTTAAAGAAAATTTTTATGTTCAGTATGACACATGTTGGCTTTAATTATAAGCATACATTTATTATATTATTTATCGCATTTTTTATTATCGTAAATTTTATTTCTACATCTTATGAACTAAAGAATCCAATTGATGGTAAAGCTCTTCAAAAACGACAAAATGATGAAAAAGCTCCTAAAAAAGTAGTCGATCCATCTTCAACTTGCACCACTTCTGATGATGCCAGATGTAAATCTCCACCAGGAGTGTAAGTATACGCTTGTTTTTTAAAAAAGATCTAAAAAATAGAATATTAATAATAATCTCATGATCCTAGTCCTCCAAAAGTAGAAACATATGTAGAATTAGGAATAGAAACTATGAAACCAACACTAATTCCGGGTGAAAATAATAGTAATAATAATACAACTAATTTAATAACTACCACTACAACACTTACATTATATTTTGCCGGTTATATAACTACAATTACAACAAAAAATTCTAATGGTGATCCTACAACTTTCGCAACTTCTGTTCTTCCTTCCACTTTACTTGTTATAAAGACGGTTGTAGTTACTTCTCCAACTAGTGAGAAATTAGATAAAACAATGGACGTTTCGGATTCTACGACAAATTTACACGATTTTAATAGACATGGTTTATGGGGTGTTACGATGAGTTTAGCTTTAATCGTTACAACTTTAATTTTTATGGTTTTTGCGTAATTTTATAAAAATTAATAAAATAGAATGTTCATAATTTTTTATTTGTACATTAATTTTTATAGTTCTTTAAATAATATTATTATGTAGATATGTATTGTATATTGTATAAATAGTTATAATAACTTATATAATGAAAAAGAAATAAAGAGAATTCTTGTGGTCTTAATATTTTTATATACAATATATATTATTATTATGTAACTTGGTTATTAGCTTTAAAGTAGGTTTGCATGCCAGAATTACCAAATGACCTTCAACTGCATATAATCATTAAATACATTATGCACACGTATTTATTTTAACTTTTAAATATAGTTATTATACAAATTCGTTTTTTTTGATACAGCACGAGTACGCTACAAGTTTTTTTGCATGACGATAAACACGTGACTTTAAATAGTAAAGCTGATTATGTGAAATCCTTTTATTTTTGTGATGAGCCTCTTTGTAAACGTAAGCAAATATACGAAACTTTTTCAGAAATCTATTCGATCTTACATTGATTTTAATGGTAAATTTCACGAAAATCTAACATGATTGACAACATATTATTAAATTGTCTGAACAAAATTTCGCCACGCTTAAAGATTACCAAAGTTAAAATAGGGTAATTTACTCTTGATAACACCACATCCATTTTTTTATTATACTCAGATTTATATTTTACATTCATAGCATCAGAAGGGGCTATTTACTGCAGGTGGTATATCAATCGGGAAATATCCAATTATTAACCTTATATTATTATGTCTTTTAAGTAAGATGATATTTACATAAATTTAACTACTAAATTCCAATAATTTTTCATTTATGTCTTCAGAAACAGAATTATGTGTTTTTAAAGTCATTAAAGCAATATATTGTGCAACTTCAATAATTTTATCAATTTTTGTTTCACCATGTAATATGAATCCAGATACTAAGGTTCCAACAACACTATAAGGATAAAATAAATTATTTAATAAATAAATTAATATAAATTAATCAACCCAGTTTACATTCATTTACCTATCACCAGCTCCTGTGACATTAACAATCTCATTTTTATCAAATTTTATTGGTTTAAAATATTTCAATCTATATTTATAACAAAGAATTAATAAATAATCATTATAAATATACAATAATAAATAAAATTTTAAAATATACCTTAACCCACTTTTTCCATTCTTTTCTTTTATAATAATTTCATTTTTCTTATTTTTTTTTGAAATACCTTTATTTAAATCTTTTAAAAATTGTGCTAATAATATACCATTTTCACCTAATTTTACTATAATATTAGGTATATATGGTAAAAAATGTAAAGTTTGTACAAATGATTCACTTATTAATTGAGTATCTAATTGACAATCAATTAATGAATTAATCAAAACTTCAATTGTAGGATTGTGTATAGATAAATTTCCAATATCTATTTCAATAAAACAAAAAAATTTATATATTAGTAAATAAATAGATTAACTAATTAATCTAGTTAAGTAAAAAACTTAAATAATAATAAAACAATACCATATTCATTAATCCTTTTAACCCATTCACTATTTAAATCAAATAAACCATTTTTATATGCTGTAAAATACATTGTTTTCAATTCAAAACTATTTGGTGAAATATATTTTAATGATTGTGATGATAATAATTGAATAAATTGTTCATAATTTTCCAATAATTTTAAAGATTTTGATATAGAAGTTGTTTCAAAAAATGCTTATAAGAAATATAAAAGTTAATAATTTGAACAAATTCAATAAATATAATAAAATATAATCACTTACTTGATATATTATAAGTTTTACAAGTATTTAAAATATTATATATGCATCCTGCAGAAATATTTCCATCAAAACAAACTAATTTTGGTTTGCCCATCTTAATTGTTTGGCTAATCTATAAACATATAAATTTAATTAAAAATATAAAAAATACCAAAATTTAAACTTTTTTACCTTATCAGATGATAAATAATCAAATATTTTCATATCAGCAACAGCACAGATTAAATTTCCACTGGAATCATGTATTGCATTATATACTGCAGTTGACTCGTTATTGATAATTTGTAGTCCACCAGTTTCCATTCCAATTTTTTCAAACTTAGTTTTTAACCAATTTCCACTTAAGTCATTTCCAATTGCTGATATAAATAATGGATTGACTCCAAGCCTAAATGATGTTTCTGCAATATTTCTTCCTACTCCTCCAATAGATTGCCTTATTGTACCGGGTGATGATGTTTTAACATAATCAGTAATGAAAGGATCTAATGTCGATGTAATGTCAACTGCTGTTCCACCAACTATTATTAACTTGTGAATATTTTACCAACAATATATTTATTTGTATTATTATTTTATGTTTATAATAATTATATTAATAAAAACAAAATTTTACCTCTTGATTAAATATTGACGAAGTTGACGGTTTTTCATATTCTTGTAAGAAAGGTGCTGGAACCTTTTTTTTAAACTCGCCTTTTAATTCTAGTTTAGAATTTCCATTAATTTTTGCATTATTCTTTACTAACGGAATATCTGTATAAAACAAAAATAATGGTTAATATATTTATTAAATATTTTTTTGTTTTCCTACTTGTGTACATACTTGATTTTAAAGAATATGCTTGATTAATTCTTAATGATACCCCATTATTTTCACTAATTTCTCTAAAAAAAGCATATATCAAAATAAAATATTGCAATTGAAAATATTGATAAAATCAATAATAGATATAATTACTTTGCTTCAGCTAAAGTGGTATCTATTGTTCTTTGTGTTTCATCAGAATTAGCAGTTGATATTGGGGTTGATATGGCCAATCCACTATTTGTACTTGCATCTAGTATTGATAGAAAAATATTTAAGTAAATACAGTAAATACCTAAAATTTTTTGACAAATAAATTAAACATACTTATTAAACCAACACTCTCTTTGATAGATTTTAAATTTAATTGACTCTGATATTAAGGAAAATCAATTCATTAATATTCAATATACAGACTCTAATTAAAAAAAAATCAACTACCTTGAATCCATTCTTTAGAATAAAAAGGGCTTGAAAATATTTTTTTATTTCACCAAATATTGATACTAATACACCTTGGGTTTCCTTGCCATTCAAGAGTTAATTTCAATATAATTGGCAATTAACATCTACAAATATTTAATATAAATTTCTCACCAAATATTCTAAAGTTTCCCTGATATTCCAAATTGATTTGATTCTTGCACCTGTACATACAACGGCTATAGGAATTCTTTCTAATTCGACCAAATCAGTACTTAAATCCGTGACTACTTGTGAAGATAAACGAAAAATAAGTTACTATTACATTTTGCAACTCCAAATTCCACAGGTAAAGAAATCTTAATACCCGCGCGATAAGCTGTAAATATTGATCTAGAAAATGTTGAAGTCTCTATTAATTCCTAAATTAAAAAAAGAAAATTATCGTCTACATATGTATAAACAACTCGTATCGATAAATCAATTTCGTTTACATGTGAAGCACGAAAATTTTTTCTTGTCTCTAGCTCTCTTCGCGCAAATGTTTCTAGCCTATTACGATAAGCCTATATAGATTGAGCAATTTAAAAATCAATGTATAATGCAGCACTTTACTATTATGATGTCTGATAAATGACTTACCTACATTAATTTTTCCGTCTAAAGTGGCTGTAGTCGCAGGTTTATTGCCAGTTACTATTGCTAAATTCTGAGGATACGGCACACCTTAAATAAATAAACGGAAAACATAAAAAGTTTTTCTATTTCCGTTTAAAAAAAGTATTTTAACATTATTTACTTTACCATGACTTATAGTAGATTCTAAAATTATAACGGGTCTATTTTTTTGCAAAGTTTCTAAAACTTTGGAGCCATAAGCACATTCCTTATAATATATTGTTGAGCTGTAATATCTTTTCAAAGAGGTAATATATAGTTTATATGAAGTCTTTATAATAAGACGAGGAATTTTATTTAGAAACTTATTTTTTAAAAAAAATAACGTATTATTTCATTTAGTTACCAAATATTTTAATTTATTCGTTGACTTTTTGAAAATGCGAAAATATAAAGTCGACATTCTAATGAAGGAAAGAAATTTTTTGATTGTCGTACACAGGTTTTGAACTTAATTGTATAGTTTTGTGTAACATTCCAACCTATTTCGCGTCTCGCGCGCGGCTTTATAATAATTAATTACCTCTTACAAATATTACCAACCCAAACAAACCCTCTCATTAAACTTTTAACAAATTGGCATGAAACTTTAATCCTGTTGACAAATCTCAGTTTTTCATTTACCAAAAAATTTCGTATGTTAACTATCGTTTTTTTTTGTTTATCTTACTGTACGAAAAAATAATATCTAGCACAATATTCAAAAAAATACTCTACTGTAGAAAAAATGAGCTGCGTAAAGGTGAAATTGTTAAAATAAACCTTTACAAACCTTTACAACTAATTTTGTCAATGTCTGATCTTTCGATATACCGATATACTATTAAAAACTTGATATACCGATAAAATTTTATTTTCCCACTATATGTGAGGACATATAAATATCGGTATAACTTTGATATAACGATATTTTCTAAAAATTTCATATATGTCCCGACATATCGTTATATAAAGGTTTGACTGTATACATTTATAAAAAAGTAGTGGGATCGTCCATTAGTCATTAGGATATTATTATGATTGGAGCCGATATTTTTATTTGTTTATTTTTACGAAATATAGTAAGTTTCCATTGATAATCTTTTTAGTTGTTTATGTACATCTGGTTGGCCTTGTTAATTTCTAGTAATTTCCTATTTCCTTATGTAAATATGGTTAGGCAATATAATGATATAACAAAAAGTTCCGTAAACTTCCGATTTATCTTTTATAAATCTAACTCCTATAAGGCTAAAACTTCCCTCCTTAAAAGAACAAAGACATATTAGAGAAACTTTTTTTTCGAGTTATAAAGTCTATTTATTTTTTAAATAACAAATAGTTTTAAGTATTTCAAAGACTATTAATTTACCTTAGAACTAAACAATGCGACCACGTTTAATTATTCTTGTTCGACATGGTCAATCAGAAGCTAATGTTGACATTTCTATTCATCGTACAATTCCCGATCACAAAATTAAGTTGACACAATTGGGAGTGGAACAAGCTATTAAAGCCGGGAGCCGTCTTAATGAATTGCTTAAACCTGAAGATACTGTTCAATTTTATGTTAGTCCTTACTTGAGAACTAGACAAACGTTTGAATGTATGTCTAAAGCATTAGATAAGGGAAGGTGGAGAGATTATGAAGAACCAAGATTAAGAGAACAAGGTAAGGAATTAAGATATATATCCATTAATTGCATTTAACTTTATTGATTTTATTATTTCATGTAGACTGGGGAAATTTTCAAGGACCACCAGAGGAAATGGCAAGGATCAAAATGGAAAGAGCATCTTACGGTCATTTGTTAGTATTTTTTATAATTTCATGTTTTTTAATCATTTCATAATTTGTTTATAAAAAAGTAATTGTCCGTCTCATTTATAGCTTTTATCGTATACCGAACGGCGAAAGCGGTGCAGACGTATATGATAGGATATCTACTTTCCAAGAGACGTGAGCTAATATCATTTTTATTATTTAGCTTAATCGATTAATTTAAACTTAATAAATTTGTTTGACTTTAGCCTACATCGTGCTTTCGCTTCTCCTAACTTTCCTTCTGTTCTGGTAATTGTCACTCATGGATTGCTATCAAGGTAAAAAACAAAATCTTTAAATATCATATATAACATCTGTATTCTAATTATCAAAGAACTTTCAGATTATTTGTAATGCGTTGGTTTCATTGGTCTGTTGAAGAATTTGAATCGTTAGAAAATTTGCGCTGTTGTGAGTTTGTAATCATGGAAAAAAATGAAGAAACAAATAAGTACAAGTTGAAGACAAAATTTAGAAAGTGGAGTAATTTTGAGTCTCCCGGACATTTTGATGATGAGGATGATGAAGGTAATAATAAATACTTAACTCCGAATGGAAAAAGATTTTTAAATGGACATTCGAGAAGTTATAGTGCTGACACGGGAGGAGAATTCAGCAGTGAGGATGTTATGGGTGATTCATCAGAATCGGATGAGAGAAGTGTGAATTCATCGTCAATTAGTATAAATGAAGAGATTATATTGAAAACTGAAGTAATTGAAGTCGATAACAAATAGACTTTTATTTATTAATTACTCATCATACAATCATTTTTAAATAGATCAAAGCATTATTTTGTATTAATATATTAAATAATTTAGATTGTATAAATCTAATTTAATTAATCAATTTTTTTTTTATATTATAACTAGAATAATTATTATAAAATAAATGTTTAATGACAGATATAATTTTGTTAAGCAATATTAAATACCCGACGATCTCTATGCATGTAATGTAATGTATATGAATAAAGGATGATTTACAAATAAATTCACTTCCATAACACTCATAATAAGCGATCTTTCTTGATGCCAAATAATTAATTGATATATTTAAATTAAAATATTCTGTTCTCACTTATTAAATTAATTCTTATCCGAAAGAGAACGATAAAATGCATTATTGGCGTTTTCGAGATCAAATAATAATTGTCGAATTTGTCCTTCATCAATTTCATCACAGGCTTTCATTCCATTTAATGTAATTAACCAATTTCTAACTTTTGCTTTACCCTCAAAATCGGCGGGTAACGAACTAACATTGTTTAAACTTTGCATTAATTCACCAAGCATAGGATGCAGTTCATCTACAGCCTTCATGCCTAGTTTCAACGCGTCCATAGTGGTAATAAAATGCTAAAAAATCAAAATAATAAGAATTCTTATATTATTGCAATAATAAATAAAAGCAAAATTGAAACTTACATGCACTGTTTCAGCAACATATTGTGCAAATTTACTGTTATCATGTCCAGCGCCAGTGGGATGTTCAATAGTAGCTGGTACTCCTATTTTGAACCGATTTACCGCTGCTGGACATTCTAACTGAAATAATAATGAGTTTAATCCGAGAAATATAAATATAAAAATCAAAGTGTAAATTAATACCTTATATTCATTCATAAACTTTTCAACATCTGTTACGGAATCACGCACCAAATTTAGTGCCGTTTTATACTGTGCTATTAATCGTGCACAAGCTTGTGTATATCTATAAAGTATTGCGATTAATTTATTAGTCATAAAGGAATCCAATTTGAAAACAATATATATATAACTAAGCTTACTCGTCAGCGGTGACAGAATCCCTAACATATGCTTTCTCTAAATGTTCCATTGTTACAATAATGGCATACAAATCCGCCAAATTCTCGTATTTTTCCCTGTCTTTATTGTTGGTATATAATCTAACTTCCTACAATAGAATTGAAAATTTACTTACGTTTAGCTTGGAAAATTTGAAAGGTAGGAAATGACTTTACCTCATCAAGCACAAAATCTTAGATAAAAGAAGAATGAATAATTAATAACAAGTTATGTAATTCTTATTTTAATGGAAAATAAAGAAACCTTACTGTGTTCTGAAGGAACAGGAGAAAATGAGGCTGTTATTGGAGGTCCATAGGCTGTGAGATAACTAAAGCTCGCTGGCGTATTAGCCATTATTAAATTTTATTATTTATTAGAAAAATAGCCATTGTTAAATTTTAAAATAAACAGTTCGAGAATGAACGTGAAAATGATCAGCCAATCACCATTGTCCAAGTAGATATTTGTTCAACATCGGCAGATATATTTCACTTTCGATATTTTCTTTCTCGACAAATATAACACACCCATATAACTTAGTCACTTCAAAATGTATAATCAAAACAATCCACCTAACTATCCCTATTATTCACAACAACAACATTCGACTTCTCCTCCTCCATTACAACACCCAATTCCCACTCACCCACCTATTCAAATGCGAGACCCTCCGTCTTCACCCTCTCCTCCTACGCAACAGAGAATGACGCATCAACAACAACATATTCCACATCAACATCCGCATCAACATCCACATCAGCAACATATACAACAAGTATCAACCGATTATAATATGTGGAATGATGCTACCACGCAAATGGGAATGCAATTTGGGAGATCTGCAATGATGGCAGGAAGTGAATATGTCGAGAAAAATGTAAATATTACCTTTAAACATAATGCATGCTATATTAATTCTTTATTGTTTTTTACTTGTGTGGTAACTTTCTGGTTATGTTATGTAGATTAACCGATATGTTAATTATCCTGCTTTAAAATATTATTTTAAAGTAAATAATTCATATGTAGCTCATAAAATAAGATTGTTGTTATTTCCATGGAGACATCGACCATGGTCACGACTTGTCAAACGATCTGAACAAAATGGACAAATGGAAGGATATAAACCACCCAGAGACGATATAAATTCACCAGATTTATATATACCGGTAATGGCGCTTGTAACATATGTGCTGCTTACAGGAATTGTTGCCGGCACTGAACACAAGTAAACTTTGATTTTCTTTCTTATGTAGATAATAGATTTAAATATTTTTAATATACATGTATTTATATATACACATACATACATATATTTAGATTTCATCCGAGAGATTTGGGAGTAAATGCTACAACTGCATTTTTCCTTATGATTCTAGAACTGGCTTTTATAAAAGGAGGATGTTACTTATTAAATATTACTTCTGAAACTAGTATATTGGATGTATTGGCATATTCAGGATATAAGTTTATTGGGTATTAATTTTATGTCTATTTTCATTTCTTCACATTAGTACCTTTTCTAATTGAAATATTAATTTTCATGGTTATTCAGTGTTATCATTACTTTGCTTGTTAGTTTAATAGCGCCTTTTTGGATTGTTTTAGCAACTTTCATCTATACAGTTGCAGCAAATGGGTTTTTCTTGGTATTTATTACTTACCCCCTAAAATTGGTTTGATATTTTCCTTACCTTTTATTTATTTATTTTTGATTATATTATAGTTACGGTCACTTAAATATGTTGTTTTGCCTGATACAACAACAACAAATACTGTCAATGTTCCACAACGACAAAGAAGAATTCATTTTCTTTTCCTCGTAGCGGCTCTTCAATTTGTCTTTATGTATTTCCTTATAAAATAATTTATTTAGAAGAGAGAAAAAACTTTTTTATATTTGGAATAATGTGATAATATTAAAAAATCTTTATGATTTGTAATTAAAATGATTTTTATTATTTATATGTGTATAATAAATTTATCAGTCTTATAATTTAAAAATTATAAAAAATCTCTATAAAATTTATTTAATGAATTAAATTTTAATATAGTTATGCCAATTTAATAACCAATCACCAAAAAGATAACTCTATTACCAATTCCAAGGGGGAGTTGATTAGTTCTTTCGATTAAATTTAGAGTTCCGTTAGCATTGTTAGCATTTAAAGATATAAATGCTGATATATTGTATTCCTTAACTTTTTACAATATTATGCATCTATCAATGCTAAAGTCACGAAAATACCATCATTCGACGCGTCTTAATGCGACGAATTCAATGAGCTGTATTTTACGGGGGGTTTAAGTTTCAGGATTTCGAAATTTTATTATAGTTCCAACAAGATAACAAATATATACTAAATTCAGAACTGAATAATTTTTGAGTGTTTTTACAGGATAATCTTATAAAAATAGAAAGAAAAAATTAGCCTTTTTCTTCAAACTCGAAGTTCCTTTCGAACAAGATTACTTACTATTATATTAAGAGTATATTTAGCCAGAACTAACAATAATTATTCAAAAATGATTTGAAATGAGCATTGCAAAGGTCAGGATCAAAAATCAAGGAATATTTATGAGTGTCCTTAAAAAAGATCTCTGATATTTATCTTATTAAGTTCTTACGATGCAAAATAATTGGAAATTTCAATAACAGTTGTGTTCGATTTTATATCGTATATTTGCATATAAGAAATTTTCGCTTTTTTCTGGTTGTTACAGTATTTGATCAACGAGCTTTAAGAAATTGGCAACCATTTTTAAATTTCATGTCTAATACTGAATAACGAATTTCAAACATTGAATACAACATCTTCCTATATAATTATCATATTTGTAAGTTGTTTGTCTTAATTTTTATAGTCATGAATTTAATTATGAAACATTAAAAAGGAGGAAAATTTTCGAGAGTTATTTTTTTTTTTTTTTGACAAAATAATATTGTGCGAATGATCTTTGAATATTCGAGGCGTGTTTGTAAAGTAATTCCAGATATTTTTTTTCTGTTGGTTAACTTTTCCCTTTAATCATATATTGTACGAATAAATTGTTAGCAAGCCGGTTTTTAATGATTTCTTGAAGGAAGAATGTTCGCGTGCAACATACGAGAATTAGGTAATTTCTTATGTAGTTAGTTTTATTTCACCTTTGGCCGGAAATAATGGTACTATGATATGTAACATAAAATTAGAAAGATTAGATATTCCCTGAATTTACACGTTTTTAATTTACTTTTTTATAAATTAGGATGATCAATGTCAAACGCGTTACTCGATCGAGAAAAAGATCATGTTTCTAGAGCATTTGCATTTGCTATATATCATATCGAAAATTTTTCTCGATCATTATGATCGTTAGATATTTCTTGATAGAATACCTTATAAAAAAAAAGCCTGTTTTACACGTAAACTATGTCGGAAAGTCCAAGTAGAAATAGAAATGAAAATAACACTCCTGAAAGAGAACAGCCTTCTTCCCCTCAAACTATGAGTGATGCTATGTTAGAAAGCCCAAATAGAAATAGAAATGAAAATAACACTCCTGAAAGAGAACAACATTTTTCCCCTCAAACTATGAGTGATGCTATGTTAGAAAGCCCAAATAGAAATGAAAACGAAAATAACACTTCTGAAAGAGAACAACGTCGTTCTCTCACCCAAACAATTAGTGATGCTGCAGATTCAACTAGGAATTTTATATCAAATGCTTTAGGTCTGAGACAAGAACAGGATAATATGAGTACTCCGACACATCTTCGAACTGAAAATTATTCAAATGTTCATACGCCTCGTAATCTTTTGTCTCCCGCAACCGTGGCTTCTTCTTTGGCGACTCCTAGATCGATATCATCACCGAGGACTCCACGTAGATCACAAATATCACATGATAATACGCCGCGAAAATCACAAACTTCTACACCACGTAGACGAATCAATACCAATCCTGAAAACTTAGCTGAAAATCCCGATAATGATCTCTTGAAAGAGTATTATGAGGGGTAACGATTATATTACGCGTATATTATCAATGAAAATATTTAAACAAACCAGTTTTCTTTTTTGTTAGAATAAAATCTGGCTCAGCTACACCAAGGACCCCAAGAAGGCAACAACGTCGTGGTGATATTCACAGCGCTCGTTCTGCTAAGCGTCTCATTGATCTCGATATCCAAAAAGGTGACGAAGATGTGACGATGCTCGAAGCTGAAGAAAAGATAACAACGGATCAGATTTGGGGCACCACTATTAAAGTTGAAGAAGTTAGAAAAAGTTTTAAAAAATTTCTCAAAGAATTTAAATTGTCAGATCTGAGTCGTAGAAATGGAAGATCTGATGATGACCCATTTTACATTGAATATTTGAAAATTGTAAGTTTCAAATTCTTTTGCATTATGTATATATTTAAATTAATTTATGATTTTAATTTATTTATTAGATTGAAAGAACAGAAGAATTTAAATTTAATCTAGATACTCAAAATCTTCTCGCGTTTGAAGATACACACAAATTATATTATCAAATTGTGCGATATCCTCAAGAAATAATTCCGATACTTGACTATGTTGTTGCGCAAATGTACACAGAACTGCATGAAAAGGAACCAAAAGAAGATATAAGAGTATTTCGGGTTTAATTTTGTGAACTGCTTTTTTTAGAAATGATTTATTAAAATTTTTTATATAGGTTCGTCCTTATAACCTTGGAATTTCTAAAAATATGCGTGAATTGAATCCATCGGGTAATCTCTATGAACACGTCATTGTAATAATAACTTATTTTTTCAGAAATATGTATAACTCTTTAAATTTTTTAGATATTGATCAATTGGTCTGTATTAAAGGTCTTTTAATTCGATCATCTCCTATTCTTCCCGAAATGGCTGTCGGTACGTCACTAATTTTCTTTATTTCATGATTATTCGAGTTATTTTTCTTACAGCGAATTTATATTTATATAGCTTTCTTTCGATGTTCAATATGCGATAAGTCTGTTGAAGTTGAAGTAGATCGTAGCAAGATTGATGAGCCATCCAGATGTCCTCGAAAGCAATGTAATTCATCCGGTACAATGGTTTTGATTCACAATAGATCTATTTTTAAAGATAAACAAGTATGTCGATTACAGGAAACGCCAGGTAGATATAATTATTCTTATCTAAAATTAGATTCTGGCTAATTATTAACATAATAACCGCTATTTTCCAGATTGTATTCCTGATGGTCAGACTCCACACACTATTTCTTTATGTTTATATGATAATTTAGTTGACATTGCACGTCCTGGTGATAAGTAAGTTAACGCTTTAATTAGCATAAATAAGCTTAAAGTTTAAAATAATGACTTTTTTTCTTGGAAATAGGATCGAGTTAACCGCTATATATCGGTCATCTCCAATTCGTGTCAATAATCGACAACGCACAATTAAGTCTTTGTTTAAGACATATCTTGATGTTGTGCATATTAGAAGATCTGAAAATATTCACGAAAATGGAGATAATGATTTTACGCAAATGTAATTAAGAATGAGTCTTGCTATTATGTTAGATGTTCATGATTTTATATAATTGATTAATTGATATAAATAATTAGATATCATGGGCTTGAAGATGAAAATAAGGAAGTAGAAAATGTACAAGAAGGATTTAGTCATGATCATTTTAGTCGTGATCAAAAACGAAAACAACTAACATTTACAGAGGCTGATATACAATATTTCAAAGAATTATCAAAAAATCCTCTTTTATATGAAACTCTTGCACATTCTTTAGGTAATGATTCAATTCGAATTATTTGAATGGATTAATAGATTTTAATTAACTACTTATTCATTTTAATTTAAGCCCCTAGTATTTTTGGAATGGATGATGTGAAAAAAGGTATTCTTTTGCAATTATTTGGTGGCACTAATAAACTATTTAGGAAATCTGGTTCACCACGTTTTAGAGGAGACATAAATGTTCTTTTGGTCGGTGATCCTGGTACTAGTAAGTCACAAATGCTTCAGGTAAAGCTACGCATATTTTTGGGACATTAGTATTTTTTAATTTTTTTCTCAAAAAAAAAAAAAATAATAATTTTATAGTACGTACATAAAATTGTACCACGTGGGATTTATACCTCCGGTAAAGGTTCATCTGCTGTTGGTTTAACGGCATATGTGACAAGAGATCCGGATACGAAACAAATGGTTTTGGAAAGGTGCGCAGCAAATAAAATTAATGATATAATACAGTATTATAATCTTTTTAATTAAATTATATACACAATGTAGTGGTGCATTGGTTTTAAGTGATGGTGGAGTATGTTGCATTGACGAGTTTGATAAGATGTCAGATGGTACACGTGCCGTTCTTCATGAAGTAATGGTTAGTATATTAAAAAAGCTTTTTAATTTATAATTACAGCAATTAAATTTAAAAATCTTATTTATAATAAAGGAACAACAAACAGTCTCGGTTGCAAAAGCAGGAATTATTACTACTCTTAATGCACGAACATCTATTCTCGCTTCTGCTAATCCTATTGATTCAAAGTATGATCCAAAGAAATCTATAGTGAGAAACATCGATTTACCACCAACTTTAATGTCTAGGTAATATACGCATCATGGTTTTTAAGTAATTTCAAAAATGTGACAACTTAAATAATATTTTATAGGTTTGACCTCATTTATCTTGTACTGGATAAGATTGACAAACAGGCTGATTGGGAACTTGCAACACATTTAGTATCTTTATATGCTGAAGATTCTCCTTTCTCAGCTAGTGTCAATATTTTGGTGAGCAAAGAAAATGACAACTTTTTTATTTCCAACTCAACCCATTAAAACCATTTTTTTTATTTAGCCTGTTGAAACCTTAGCAAAATATATTCACTACGCTCGTATTCATTATAATCCAATCATTGGAAACGATGAAGCGCATAAAGCATTAGTTGATGCATATGTATCTTTACGAAGACTAGGGCAAGACCCGCGTTCTTCAGAAAATATAGTTACAGCAACTACTAGACAATTAGAATCTATGATTCGATTAGCTGAAGCCCATGCTCGTATGAGGTAATCGTACTATTCTTTATTCTGAAGTTCTACAATTTAGATTCTATTAATGAATGTTGATATTTTTCTATAGGTTGTCGAATACTGTTGAAATGGCTGATGTTGAAGAAGCTGAACGACTTCTTAGAGAAGCTATAAAACTTTCAGCCTTGGATCCCGAGACTGGAAGAATAGATTTAGATTTGATTACAACAGGACATGGAAGCTATGAGAGACGTTTGTTAACTGTTATGCGCGAAGCATTCCAAAAGATGCTGAATCGTCGAAATATAACGAGTATCAATTGGAAGAAGGCATTAGAAGATTTTAACGAACAATCTGATGTAGTAAGTAATAATAACACAAGAAAACATATGAAACTTCATGAAAAGCCCATTAATATATATTTTATTTTACATAGAAAATTAACGAAAAACAATTTGAGACCATGGTAAATTCTTTAGAACAAGAAGGAATATTGAGACTGGCCGGAAATGGAAATGATCGCGAAATAATAACTTTAAATGAAGATGATGAGTAAATGCTTGTATAAAAAATATTCAATAAATAAAAAAAAAAAGTAATTTTTGTCATTGTTAAAAGAATTCGTGCATAATAAATAAATTCACGATATAATAATAAAAAATCGCGTATTATTTATATGAAGCTGCCTTATATTGATTAATAAAGCTTTAAGCTTGTCTATCTTTATATATATACTGTATATAATATATATGAATGAAATTATTATAATAATCCTTGTCTCTTTAAATCGTCGTAAGTCTTTTTATTAAATACATTTCCCTCTTGATCCTCAAATTCTTCCATCGTATCTGCTTTAAATTCATCAGTTTTACCCGTACTTTTGAGTTTCTCCCATACTATAAAATTTAAGAAAGTTATTAACATATTACGGAATAGCACAAGAAATACAATATGGAGATAATCCAACCCTAAGATATACTTACAAGCATAAGCATCTTCGATTAATGTAATTTCATGAAAATGACGGGTGTTAGGTATTCCCAAACATCTCATTCCATGAGCATGTCTCCATTCTTGAAAATGCCTATCGAATGCTTTCCTTCCCATATATACGTAATTGCCACAAATTTCGCATGGATACTCAACACCAAGACCATGTAATTTATAAAGCCAATATGGAATTGGCTTACCATCCCAACCAAGAGGTAATTTAAGTGGATTGTAAATTTTATCTTCATCTTCTGATTCTGATTCTACATCATCCACTTCTTCCGTCTCTAATTCCATCTTATTAAAAATAAGGGAATAATTTAAGCATGAAATAATTTAATAATAATAATAAATTAATGAATTAATGAATTTGGATTATTACTTACTCTTCGTTCACGATCAGTTAAAGCTCGTTTTCTTTCAACATTGGCTTTAGTATCTTCACGTTGAGAACCTAAAACTTCAGCGTATTTTTGTATCAATGCTTCAGTAAATGCAATTTCTTTTTCACGTTTATCTTTTCCTTCATCTACTTCTTTTTTTAATTTTTCATACGTTTCTGAATCTACTGATGTAATTCCTTTCTCTATCATTGATTTTGCGGATTTTATATGTTTTTTACTTTTCAAATGAGCATCATATACAGTCTTTTTTGAATAAGCTTTTTTACCTTTTAAAATAATGAGAAATGTTGATTTATTAAAAAAGGTGGATAATTGAATTTTAAAATTGTATTTAGTTAGATACTTACATGCCACGCAAAACAAATCAGTAGAATCATCATCTGCACCAATTTGTTTTTCCCACCCATGAACTTTGCCTTGTGCCCATTTTTCATTAAATTCTCTTTCAGCCTCATTCCTTATATCGTCTAAATTAGAAAGCGGTTTAACCCTTTTGAAAAAACTCTCTAAATAATTTTTCAATTCTTTCAAGTATCTATTGAATAGATTAAATTGTTAAAAATTGTAAAATAAATTTAACCATCTACAAAAAAAAAAAAAAAAGCTTATATCTACTTGAGATATTCTCCATTATATTTATGTTCTTTTGGATAATCCGAAAAGTGATCAAATTCACTTAAATAAGTTAAATAATCAGTTTTTTTAAAATTTTTTAAATTTACGTATTGTTCATGAAGAGCATGTAAATCTAAAAAACGACCACTCCCTTCTTCACCCGAAAAAAGTTTATCAATTTCTAAAAGGAAAAAAGTACAACAGATTATATAATTAAATATAAGTTATATTTGTATGTATTATATATTAATTAAAAAATTATTATTTAATAATACCATCATCATCTCCATTTTGTTTAGACTGATTAATAAATTCCAATTCCAAAGGTTCAACAGTTTCATTAGGATATCTTCTATGATAATCTTTAATTGCTTTCAATCTACCGTAAAATTCACTAAATTCTGAAGTACCAGATAAAGCATCGATTTCAGTTTTTCGTGCTCTATAAATATAAAATAAAATAGAATAAAATATAATTAAAAGTTTTAAAATAATAATTGTTTGCTTTAATTGATAATTACCCGTCAGTATCCTCATATAACTCGTGTAAAAATTTACTTCTGGAACTAATTCTATCAAGGAAATCGCTAACTCTATGCTCTCGTATTAATCTTTCTTTATGCTGTTTGTAATTATTTTAAATAAAATATATTATCAAAGATTCAAATTTATTATTAAAAGTTTGAAAAAGAAAATAAAAAATTTTATTACTGATCAAAAAACTAAAAACTTGCAAACCAACAGATTTTGTTTCCTTAATAAATTGATCTACAATAGCTTGTTCTAAACGTTCAATTTCTTCATGAGCTTTTCTTTGTTGTTCTAAGATGCTTTCCATTGTGTTAAATATGAAATGAAAATTGGAAATAGAACGAAAAAAAAAAAATCGAGCAAAAACAAATCTATATAGATCCAGTGATGGACATATATATACAGTATAAATGAATTTTAGAATATGTCACATGACTATTTTGGCCAGAATTATGAAATTATGAAATAAATAAATACATAAAACTGCTGTGCTACTTTATACTATACGATGCACTGTTGATCAGTTAGAAACTCTGTTTATTATTTAATACTGTATTTTGAGTTTATTTCGGAACTTCTTTCAACTTCTTGAATAATTATGTCAGAATACAAACCAGAATCATCTACTTCACCTAAACCCTCAGAAGAGAAAAAAACCATGAGTGGTTTTTCAATGTCTATTCAATCAAGTAAAACGAAAATTTTAGGAAATAAAAGTGTTTTAAAGAAACGCAGAATAACTGACGATCAGGAAGAAGAAACAGAACGACAAACTATAGAGTACATTTCTGTGTTTGAAGATAAAAAATCTAAAAAGTAATTTTTTTTTTTTTATAAATTATTCTTGATATGAATTTTTTGATTTATTTTTAAAACTAATGTCTTTTGATTTTGGTTTCCTAGTCTAGAAGGCATTATTTTAACAACAAAATTTTAATAATATTTTTTATAGTCTCAATCTAAAGAAAAAACAAACTCAATCAAGAACAACTAAGAAAAGTACAAATGAAAAAGATAATAAAGATTTAGATGCTCCAGAATATTTAACAAATAATGCTGGATTGTCTTTTGGTTTAAATATTACGAAAAAATCTACAAACAATCCAAAGGAAAAACGAGAGAGTATATTGGCAAAAATTAAGAATAGTCAAAAGAAAGAACAATTAAGTGATAACAAAGACAATAAAATTTTGTCAAATGAAAAACTTGAACCTGAACCTGAAAAATCATTAAAGGAACAAGCCTTGGAAGAACTTTTAAAAGGTTTGCTATGATGAAAATTAAACTCGTTAACTCGATAAAACATTACAAACAAGTTCTAATTATTATTATCTTTTTTAGAACCAGAAAAAGAGGAGACTATTGATGAGCCAGATGAGGAGCAAATAATTAGAAAGACATCGTTTAAATTGTTAAATGAAGATATAATTAAAGATAAAACACATTCTCGAAAACGAAATCGTAGTCCAAGCAGCGAGTAAATTAATTTAAATATAATTACATACTCGAAATTTTAATAATTCGGATTATATGAAATAAAATAATAGATGAGTTATTATATTGAACAATATCTGATTTTGTGCAGAAATAATAAATATATATTATATGGTGCCGTTCATTTCAATTTTGACATAATATATGCGTCAATTGAATTTTGAGTTTCAAATTTTATTTTCGAAAGTTGTGATATGTGACATTTATGTGACATTAAAAAATAAGTCAATAAACCGATCGATCACATTGACATATTTACCATGTGATATAAAGTGGCATATAAAAATATAATACATACAAAAGGGATTTACGAATAAATATCTTTCTGGGCAACTTTATCTTGACTAATAAAAGTTCGCCCTTGTTCTACACCAGGAACCAAATAAGAAATATCGTCCCATGGATGACGATATAAACCTTGTTTAAGCCTCTTTTGATCAAGAAAATGTCCTAAAAATTGGAGTAATTCATTATATTATTAAGTAAATAATTCGGAAAAATCGATAGACAAAATAAATACTTACCAGTAAAACCAATACTTCTCCCTAATACGAATAATCCATTTAAAGCTCCGATCTTAACATATTCTTCTGCCTCTTCTATACTAAAAGCACCAGATTCTCTTAATAAGTCAACAAAACAAACTGCAATTGCACCATCAAGGTTAAGAATTAAAGAATCTTTTTTGGCAGTAGTAATTTCTTCAACAGCCAAAGCATAATCAAGTAAAGGTGTTGCTGGAAAATTTCTTTTGGCATAATCTTTGATTATTTCAACACGAAGATCAGGGTTATTACGAGATTTAATTTTATGTCCTATACCGAGAATTCTGAATTAAACGAAATGATCAGGACAAAAGTATGTTAAGAATTTTTAGCTTTTAGCAATAATAAAATTAAAATAACTTACAATTTGTTTTGTCTACGCATTGAATTCACAAATTCTCGAGGTGTCAAGCTTTTGTCATATGCACTCTTAAACATTTCAGCTGCTCCATCAAGAGCACCACCAAATCTATCTCCCTATAAAAATTAGGTATAAAATTTAACAAATATAATGAAAAAAAAAACGAGTTAAATAATGTAAAACACGCTTAACATACAATTGTTAAAAGACCAGAACATAAACTTGATATAAGATCTTTTCCTGCTCGAGCAGTAACAATAGTATTGTGAGCACTAAATTTTTTTTTTAAAAAAAAATTTTTTTTTAGCTTAGCTAAAGAAATAAATTTAATCAATTAAAAATAACCATAAAATTAATATACCCAGAAACAGCAGGACCATGATCTGCGGTCAACATAAGTATCATTTCAATGAATTTACAAGCATATTCCGGCAATCTTCTCTTGAACCATAATAAACTCAAAACTCCACCAATACCAATATTTTCCTTGAATACATCGGAAATCCTCATTCCTGCATATAATAATTCTTGACCACGGTCATCACAAATAGTGGACACGAAACTTGCAGGTTTTCGAACCAATCCAATTTCTTGTGCCCAAGAATAATCAATAGGTATTTTAGGCGTTTCGGGTTCAGGTGCCACAATAATAGTGCCATCAGAAACAAGTTTCTGAAATGTTTCATGTAATGCCAAGGGTAATTTTTCAAATGTTTCTGAAACAATCGCACCAGCTTCTCTAAGGGCCTTGTTTTTTGCATCTGCAGTTTCGAGATCTGATTGTGCTAAAGCACCTGCATGACCAAATTGAACTTCGGTTGTAAACATTTTAGCACAAGTGCCAATACACCAGGCAATTAAAGGTTTTTTGATTCGTCCATCTTTAATGGCTTCACATACTTTATACTCTTCAACACCACCAACTTCTCCAAGTAAAACTAAGATTTTGCACTTTGAATCATTCTCAAAACGTAATAAATGATCAATAAAAGTTGATCCAGGATAACGATCACCACCAATTGCAATTCCCTCATAAACACCATCTGTTGTTCTTGAAATGATATTATTCAACTCATTGGACATACCACCTGATTTTGATACATAAGCAACTGAACCAGGTCTATATAATTTGGACGAAACAATATTATCCATCATTCCACCTGTATTACCAATTTTGAAACAACCTGGTTTAATACCACCAACAGTTGCAGGACCAATTATAAGAACATCTCTTTTATTGGCTTCATGGATAATTTGACGAGCACGACGTTCAGGAACACCTTCAGCAATAATGGCAATCGTTTTAATTTGATTAGAGTATTGAAAGAACTCAAAAGTAGAATCATAAACAGATCGGGAAGAAGCAAAATTCACAACCGTATCAACTTGGGGAAATTTTTCAATGGCATCTTTTGGATTATTGAAAACATGTAATAAGGTTTCCTTTGTACCCCAATAAAACTTTTGCATGTGATTTCCACCAAATGGATAAATCATAGCAGCAACCGAAGGTACTTGGCGTTTACACATATAATCAAAATCCAACATTCCTTGTACAGCACGTGGTTGCATTCCATAAACGAAGGTACGCGTTTCACTTGTGAAAATTGTATACCAAGGGCGTTGGATTATTTCGGGATTTTCAAAGTATGTCATCCTTTCACGTGGATTAGGTATAGGAGTTGTTGGTCTAGAATGAGTTTCTTTCGATTCTTCAGAAGTATCATTGGCAGCTTTCTTGCCTTTTGTTGAAGTTTCAAAATTTTTACTTTGAATATTTTTTTCTGATGAATCAATACTATTATTATTAAGACCTGATCCATGTCCCAACAAGGCTAAAGGTACAATTTCAGTAATATGTGTTTCTGGACCGAAAACCTTAATATCCACACCAATATCATCCCCTAATTGTCCCATTGCCCTTATCCCTTCTTGATAATTTGGTCCACCACGTCTTACAAAGATCTTAACTTTATGAGCAATTAATGGTTGTTTAAATTCTTGTAAAGCACGGATCAAACCTTTAAAAGTTACAGCAACATTGGTGAAATTAGCAATACCACCACCTATAATTAAAATTTTTCCATCAGGGTGCGGTACAGGGTTCCGAGTCATCAAATCAAAAATTGTTTTCGCATATTCATAAGTTTGTGTTTCAGACGGAGCTCCAGAATATTCACCATAATTGGCAAGTTCATGTGCAAATCCTAATGCAGCAATCGCATCACTTTTAAATATAATACGAGAATTAATAAAGATATGATTATATGATATATATATATATTTTAAATATATTTTACCTATAAACGACCGAAGCACCCCCACCAGCAATCATTGTCCATATCCTTCCATCCTTATTTAAAATTGTTAATTTCAATGATGCACCAGTTTTAGAATCTAATTCTTGAATATAAGCTTCCTCTTTTGTTAATTCTCGACCAAAGGGGGCAGGAAATTCTATAGGAGGTCCTTGATCAACATAAGTTTTAGTTAAATCATCATTAACTGCAAGACCTATGTTTTTCGGAGCACGAGCAATAGCCCATTTTGGTCCAACCTCAAATTCTCCTGTTTGATCCAATTTTGCAGCCAAATCAAGGTAGAATATTTTAGGAGTATCTTCAGTAGAAGTAGGATCAAGTACCACCAATGGGTTGATTTCAAGATATGTAAATTGTAAATCAACATACACGGCATATAACCGAGATATAAAATCTACCAAGACATCTTTCTTTTCGACTGGAACATTAACTAATAGTTTATCTTTGATTTCTTGAGAGCTTGGATATGTTTCATTAACAGGGATTAAAAGTTTTAATGCTTTAGCGTCAACATCACCAACTTCAATACCACCTTCATGGGTGAATAAAATATAATCCCCATCACGAACTGAATTTATATTAATATAATATTCAGTATCTGAAGGATGTGGTACGAATGGTTCAACAAGAAAAGTTTTCAAAACTCCAGTTACATTGTCAACCTAAAAAATAAATTAAATCATCATTTGGGTAGTACTAATATTAGGTGTCTATATATTCAATTCTTGAGATTTACCTTAACTTCTTTGCCAGCTTTTTCAGTAATCCATTCTTTAACCTGTTGCCAATCGGAGTTTAACAACAATAATCCAGATTTACCTCGTCTTTTTATAAGCTGATCAGGTTTAACTACTAATTTATCAGTTAACAACCATGGGTGTGTTTGCTCAAGAACATTAAGAGTTTGTTGAACGTGATTACTGAAAGCTAAAGAAGTATTATTAATGGAAATATCATTTAGTATGGAAATATCGAAAGTAACATGAGCTACTTTAGTAGCCGGTGGAACAAATTTAGAATTAGAAGCGTCACTTTCGAATAGAGAAGGAGAACGTAAAAGCCAATAAGCTAATAATAATTTTCCATCATATTCTCTAATGGCCTTCGCAGACATAATTAATTTTTATTAAATTAAATTTTTTTAAATAAAAAGTAAAAAAATTCACAATTAAAGGGAAGAGAAAAAATTTTTTTTCGAAAAATCACGTATAGTTTAAATTTAAAGAGTTGTTAAGGTTTAGTTGCAGATCAGCCCAGTGTTTGGGGTGGGAGTATTTTTTACTGATCATTCCTAAATTTTTCTCGAATGTAATTAAAATATTAAGAAAATTCAGTTTAGACGACTTTTTTATTTGTTGACGTCATAAATAGATTATCTGCATTTACATTGTAATACCAAAAAAAAAAAATAAAATAAATAAATAAAAAAAGGAAATTCGTTTTTTTTTTTTTTTTTTTTTCATATTATATCATTATCTTTTTTATTTTTGTATTTAAAATTATCTTTTTATTTAAAATGTTATCTTCTTATCTTTCACGTACTTTAAAGTCTCCAGTAAAATATTCTGTCCCACTTCGTGCATTTATTACTAGTTGGGCACATGTACCTCAAGGTATATTATTCAAAAAAAAAAAGTGCAATTGAATTTTTTTAGTATTACATTTTATCGTAAAAAAAAAAAAAAATTTCATATGTAATCATTTTATAAATTACTAAATTATGATATCATAATTTTAAAGGACCACCTGATGCCATCCTTGGTATTACGGATGCATATCGGAAGGATGACCATCCAAAAAAAATGAATTTGGGAGTTGGTGCATATAGGGATGATAATGGTAAACCTTATGTACTAAATTCAGTTAGAAAGGTTTGTTGTTTGTTTTTAAAGACAACTAACTATTTTAGAATAATAATAAACGTTTTAAATGGAAATCAATTTAATAATGTATAATATTAATTAGGCAGAACAATTAATTTTACAAGATAAACTTGATAAAGAGTATCTTGCAATCACTGGTCTTGCATCCTTTACTAAAGAAGCTGTACTCTTGGCTTACGGTAAAGACTCGGAACCTTTAAAAGAAGGAAGAGTAAGTTTGTTTTTTTTTTAAAAAAAAAAAATTACTGATTTAATAATCAAAGTACTTATATTTCAATAAAAAATTATTGTTAGATTTCTGTTACACAATCGATTTCTGGTACCGGTGCACTCCGAATCGGTGGTGTATTTTTAAATCGATTTTATCCTCATAATAAAAAAATATTTGTACCAATTCCCACATGGGGAAATCATGGTGCCGTATTTAAAGATTCTGGATTGGAAGTTGGACAATATAGATATTACGATAAATCAACTAATGGATTAGATTTTAAAGGATTTGTTGAGGATATCCAGGTAAAAATCTAATTAATTTAAATTGGTACATAATATTCACTTCATTTAACGATGAAAATATGATCCAAATTAGAACGCACCAGAAAATTCTATTTTCTTATTACATGCTTGCGCACATAATCCTACCGGAGTTGATCCGAGACCAAATCAATGGGATCAGATTTCCGAAATTATTAAAGTAATGATAAATAAATTTTATATAATAAATATTTTTATTTTATTTTTATAAAAAAAAAAAGATTAAAAATGCGTCAATGTAGGAACGTAAACATTTCGCCTTCTTTGATATGGCTTATCAAGGATTTGCTTCTGGAGATGCAGATCGCGATTCTTATGCAATTCGAAAATTTGTTTCTGATGGACATAAAATTTGCTTATCGCAATCATTTGCCAAAAATATGGGACTTTATGGAGAACGTGCTGGAGCATTCTCAATCATTTCAGGAAGTCCAAAAGAGAAAGAAGCGGTAGATTCGCAATTAAAGATTTTGATCAGACCAATGTATTCTAATCCTCCATTAAACGGGGCAAGAATTGCGAGTTATGTATTAAGTAACCCTGAATTAAAAAAGGAATGGTAAGAAATAATTTATTCTGACGATTCTGACGACTCTGTAGATTCTGACGATTTTTAATCATATGTAATTATCCGATAGGTTGGGCGAAGTTAAACTTATGGCCGATAGAATTATTACGATGCGTGATTTACTCAAAAAACATTTAGTAGAAGATTTTAAATCCAAACATAATTGGAACCATATTACAGATCAAATTGGCATGTTTTGTTATACGGGTTTAAAACCTGAACAGGTATGCTATAATAATTTTTATAAAAATAATATTTTGAAATAACTAATTTTTAATTATTATATGTACCTTTTATTTTAAAGGTTGAGCGACTCACAAAAGAATTCCATGTATATTTAACAAAAGACGGACGTATTTCGATTGCTGGCATTACCTCACACAATGTAGAATATTTAGCTAACGCAATTCATGAAGTAACAAGATAGACATTATACCATAAAGATTATTTATTTATTATTATGAATTTGCATATTTATTTTATGAGTATCTCCAATTCTCCATAAGAAAAAAAGATGCATAATAAAATACATATATATATAAATGATATGCGCTAAATAATTTAAGCAATTTGAAACCCGTAGAAAAAATTTGACTGGCAGATAACCGATTTGACTGGCAAATAAACAATTTAACTGACAGAGAAATCCATTTGACTGGCAGATAAACAATTTAACAGAGAAATCAATTTGACTGGCAGATAAACAATTTAACTTGCAGAAAAATCCATTTGACTGGCAGATAAACAATTTTATTTGCAGAAAAATCCATTTGACTGGCAGATAAACAATTTTATTTGCAGAAAAATCCATTTGACTGGTAGATCAACAATTTGGCTTATAGAAAATCCATTTGACTGGCAGATAAACAATTTGGCTGACAGAAAAATCAATTTGACTGGTAGATAAACAATTTAAAACAGAAAAAACAATAAACCAATTTGACCGGCAGATAAACCACAGAATTGAATTGTGCTTGATGGCGGATTTTCTGTCGTAAGATTCGCCGCATCCATGATTGTGCACTACATTCATACAGTAGTATCTAGTATGTAATAACCTAATCCTAATGGCTCTTGGCAATTTTGTTGATGGCGCATTGCCAATTTGCCATACTTGTGAGAATATTTTTTGTGGCTAAAAGGCTAATTACACAAAATGAATGAATGAATGAATGAATTTTTTAATTATATCAATTATATCCCTAAATTAACCGAAAAAAATTTTTTGGCGAATATATTGATTTTAACAAAGTGAATATAACGAAGGAAAAAACCGGCAATTACATTATAACATGATTCAGTTTTTTGATTCAGTTTAAAAAAAGTTAGTTTAAAGTTCTTAACCGCAGCAAGAAATAATTTTGTATGTGATCGGTATACCCAATGATCTCAATGATCTGATCTCATATGACTTAAAATCTTTTAGTATCAATGGGTGCACTGACCAACTGCCAACTAAAAAATTAATAATTGAGGTAAAACCATTGTTTATTTTTTTAATACCTTTTATACTAAAAATCTTTTGTTTATATTAATATATTTTTATCCTTTTTAAAATTAGTTTAACTGATGGAATCGATCATTGGTTATTAAAAAAAAAAATGGCGGAAAATTTTACTGGAAAAAAAAAATGTAAATGAAGAAATAATAATAATAATGTACGAAAAAAAAAAAGTTTATTAATAGTTTATAATATAAAATTAAAAGAAGAAGAATTTTATAATAAATTAATAGAAAAAGTTTTTATAATAGTTAAAAGTTTTAATAGTTTATCATAGTTTTATAATAGTTTAAAAATAGTTTATTATAGTTTATTATAGTTTTTTGTAATAGTTTATAATATAATTTTTAATGAATAATTAAAATAATATTTATTTTTATACAAATTATAATAATTTATAAATTATGTACAATAGTTAATTATAATAGCTTCAGAGACTAGAACTAAATTATAAAACAATATCGAATAATAATGATTCGGAAGCAAAAATTAATAATTTAATAATTTGACGGTAAGAAAGACCAATGAATACATCCCCAAAGAGATTATCTGAATGGAGAGTTACCCACATTTCTGTGTCACCAATGGCTAACAAACAGATAAAAATTAAATTAAATGGATTCAATGAATTTCAATATAATGATTACCATAAATGGTAAAATGACGCATTCCATGGAAAACCCGACAAAAGATAAATGATTAGGTAAACAAAACAAATCTTAGTATTGTAAGTGTTTTGTAATACCTTATTAATAAACATAAATAATGGAGCAATCTGAGAGGTCTAGACCGGGCTACTCCTGGTTACTTTTGGTTACTCCTCTATAAAAAAGGAAACTTATACAGTAATAATATAAATATTTATTTTTTTTGATCTTATGTAGGGTAGTAAATACGGAGATTATTTTTTAGATTTGTTTATTACATTTTACCTCAATGAAAACCAAAATATTTAATTGAACATACATAGTTATGTTCATTTTTTTTTATAAAGAAAATAAAATTTTATTATTTGATATATATAGTATTTTTTTTTTTTTTTTACATGATTCTTATGTTCTTATATATTTTTCCTTATGTTTCCTTTAATAAAGCTTTTTAGATTATTTTGATTTAAAACAAAACAAAAAAAAGCCCTTAAAAAAAAAGTTATTGTTATTAGACGACTTTTCTTTCTTTAAAAAGGTAAAAATGGCATAAACGGCATAAACTTTAAAAAAAAAAGTCGGCGCTTAAATTACCGTTACACTACTTTTTAATCGTAGATCACGGTCAATTGCCTATTACACATGACTATGACTTTTTCATACGAAAAAAAAATCTTTTTCAATGATTACGCCCTTTTTAGATCTCAATAGATCTCAATAGACCTCAATTAGAATAATAAAAATCCTGTTATAAAATAAATAAATAACTTGATTTAGAAATTTAATTTTGTTACGTTTTTAAATGATCTAAACTTTAAAATTTTAAAACAAAGGATCAAAGAAGTGCGCGTGCTTGATTTGTTTATATCACAAGGAGACGTTGTTATTACCTTATCGTTCCTGTTACATTTACGGAACGGAAAAACCTATTAATTGAATTATAATATTCAATTCGAAAAGATATTAGTAAAAGTTATAAAGTTGTAAAGTTATAAAGTTACAAAGCTATAAAGCTATAAAGTTACAAAGCTATAAAGCTATAAAGTTATAAAGCTATAAAGCTATAAAGTTATAAAGTTATAAAGTTATTAAGGATCAATTTACGATGAGAATTATTTTAATAACAACGAAGGGTTATTAATTCAAATTTATTTCAATATATATATATATATTTTTTGACATTAAATATCTAAAAAAGTTTTACAAAGAATTTTTTTTTTTTTTGTTTTTTTTTTTTTAAGGGAATTTTTTTGGTAGAGAACAATTTTTTTTTTATGTGAGAAAAATTATGTGAGGAAATTATAATGTGAGGAAATTATGTGAGGAAATTATGTGAGGAAATTATGTGAGGAAAATTATGTGAGGAAATTATGTGAGGAAAATTATGTGAGGAAATTATGTGAGGAAAATTATGTGAGGAAATTATGTGAGGAAAATTATGTGAGAAAATTATGTGAGAAAAATTGAGAGGAAAATTGTGTGAGGAAAATTATGTGAGAAAAATTCTGTGAGGAAAATGAAAATTATTGAAATTATGTGTGAAGAATATAAAGTAAAGAATGAAAAATATCGTAATAGGATAGACAAAAAAAAAAAAGATTGTATAAATTATAATTTAATAATTACTCACCAATTAAAATTCCTTCCTTTCCATAATGTAATCCCATACCCTGTCCCATTATGTATATATAAAATTTCTAACTAAATTATTTTTTTTTTTTTTTTAATTATCTTATCATTTCACTTGAAAAGGTAAAAAGAATGAAAAGAAAATCTGAGAGAAGAATAGAATAAAATAAATAAAATATATATATATATTTTTTATTATGAAATAGAACAGCCACGGGCAAACCACCATTGATCCCGTAAACTTGATATCCATTCTACAATCAATTTTAATCGTTCTCGAACAGATCTTAATTCTAATAATTTATATTTTTCACCTTCAGCTATTGGAATCACTGAAGCGACCCAATAAGAAAAATCTGAAGGATCATCTGGCATATCTCCATATACTGAATTAAGTCTTTGTAAAAGCCAAGGAGAATTTCCATTACGTAGAGTCTCTATGAAATCACGTGATATGCCAATTAATTCTGAAGTGGTGTATTCCCTTATTGGATTATTTAATGGATTACTAGTATTATAAATTTCAGCACGTCTTAATTCTTCTCTCTCAATTCTTTCCTCTTCTTCAGGACTAATATCATCAACTCGTTCAACTCTTCCAACATCATATCCATCTTTTGAACCTTTTTCAATTACTTTAAATTTATAAGTACCAATTGTTTCAACAAGAGAACGTCCATCAGCCAAAAATTCTGCAGACCTTATTTCCAACATTGTTCCAAAATCTTGATAAGTATTACTACATGCTAATACCATTCCAAATTGTCTTTGACGTGATTGCATACATCTTCGAATCATTAACCTATATTTTGGTTCAAATACATGAAGGAAACAAGGCATTTTTGGAAATACCAAAGCATTTGTAACAAAAATTGGAGTATCTTGCATTGTATTAAATAATTCACTGTCTAATAAATATCTTCTTTCAGAATATAATGATGGATATAAAGCTCTTATAAAAGAATAAATAGTTTTGTTTATAGGATGATGTAAATAAGCATTATAATTATGAAGTGGTTGTCTACAAATAGGACAAGCTGAATTATGATCAAGTGAACGTGTTATACAAGGTTTACAAAAACTATGACCACAAGGAGTAGTTATTGGATCAATAAATAAAGAATAACATATTTGACAATCTAATTCAGTCATTAATAATTCTTTGATTCTTATTATATCAAGATTATTATCAACTTGTAAATTATTTGATTCTGTACCACCTCTAAAAATATTATTATTAATTATCGAATTTGATATATTATCATCATCATCATCATCCGAATCTGATATATTTTGATAATGATATTCATTTAATAAACGAAAATCATTTTCATCATTATTATGATGATTATTATTATATTGTCTTGTTATTAAAGGTAAAAAAGCCGCTAATTCTTTTCGACTTGTATCAGTTAATTTTTGTAATATTACATCTGTTTTACAATCAAGTGAATGAGATCTTCCACATCCAAAAATAGGACATTTAAATTTTCTATTCAATTGATATGTCGGATTTGGAAGACATCCACGACATATAGAATTTCCACATTGAAAAGTGATGGGGTCTTTGAAAACATTTTGACATTCTGGACATGTTAAATATTGTAAAACTACAAGAGCATCCGATATATTATTATTATCATGATCTTCATTTTCCAGAGTATATGATTCTGTTGTCATTTGTACATCTTCTTCATTGTCTGTATTTAATAATGACATTATGTTCATAGCGGTCTCTTTTTTTTTTTTTTTT